TATATATATATATATATATATATACGAACGGAAGAAATTTGGCAGCCTGGCCCTTCAAATACAATTGAACTTCCAACAACGCACTGCTTAACTCATTCCGCAAGACCGGGCAGCCGATATTAGGCCCACATTTTTGGAACCCCTTTGATAAAACCGGCTAGGACAGGAGTACGATTGTATGACGCACCCAAAGCCATCATACGCAGAAAACTCGCTGCCTCCCCTTGTTATTATTCCCCCCCCGCAGGCCACGGGCCTTCCCTTCGCACTACGTTTGTGGGGTTTTGGTATGGAACAGATAATGCAATTGCTTCCCAGGCTACAGGCATGTCAGGCATGAAAGTAGAGTTCACAAACAGTGCAAGTATTTGGTTCTACCGACCTTCGTTTTAGAGGCTGAGTAGGCGTCTCGTTTACTGATGGTCATGGTACTACAGGCCTTCATATCTGCGGGGGCCCCCACACTCTCTCACATGTATGTCCAAGGTTGTTCTTTACAATATATCGCGTGCCGAGGCGGTATGCTGTGCTCACAGAGTATGCTAAAGTTCCACCTTTCACGATTCGTCCACCTTCAGTCCATTTGCCAGTATATTTGGGTTATACAGCGCCACGTCGAACCTGTCCTGCCAAAAGTCAACTAGAAAACATAGCCAGTTGGAAATTAGACACTGCCACGGCGTCAATGCCGCATTAAGCATATATGCCGCCTTTTCCACATGTAGGTTATGTGCTCAGTGATCAAGAACCATGTTTCCGAAGTTTTTTTTGGAATTGGCAGCATATTTTGTTGAACTTGGGCTAATTCCTATTCTCCTTCAATCCCCTTTATAGCGGCATACATCAAACCTTTTGTGCGCCAGTCTCTTTTAACAGTACTAAGATGAAGCATCCACCGTATGTTGAGAAAATGAAGTATCTGGCCTCAGCAGACGCCCCGCCGGCGGAGTGTGCACTAGCCGTAACCAACTTTCTCCCACATGGCATCCAGCGTTAATTGGTACAGCGCTGGCATCTTTTGTTTGGCTGCGCCACGCACTACCTACCGAAGGGCACTCCAAGGATGCTACAAACGTACAAGCGAGTATTCACAACCTCATCAGGAAGGTTTGTTCCACCCGCGGTACTTCCTTCTAGGGGAACAACAAACGCCTGATCGGTAGAGATACCAGAGAGTACTGCAAGCACTTCTGCTGTTGGTGCTGTTGCCCATCTTAAGGCAATACATCTGGTTTTTGGGAACTGCCCTCAACATGGCAGCAATGGGGGGTTGGCTGAGCTGACTCTGCGGCCGACTGGCAGATCAACAGCTATGTTGCAGCCAAGCCTGCTTAAAAAATATACCAGCGTTTTTTGCGAATTTCCACCTGTCCTGCACTTCAGCTGCACTCCCTTGCATCGATTTTGAGCACTTGGAAGCTGCTGTGGCCCGATATAGGCAAGTTGGTTTTTATATGGTCTCTTCTTGCCGATTATACTCAGTGCATAGCCCGTAACTAGGATTTGTATTGCTTTAAAGAGTGGTTCTGCACTCCGGCAGATGCTAGTCATCACCAACAACTCAACTATTGACTGAGTCACACCTCACTGCATATTTAATGTGAGTTGGAGCATCGAAAGGTCTGCAGTATCTCGCCCCTTAGCGCAAACCTACCTGGCTGCCCCCAAAAGAAATTGTGAAGCTGCGCCCCATTCCAGGAGAGGCTCCATCGGCTAACAGTTAGCATGCTGTGGGGCCATGGAGATCGTGGTCTGGGAGCACACTCCACTTAGGCGTACTGGTGGAGTCCCTAAAAAGTGGCGTTTCTAGGTGTTGTTGTTCGTTGGCATCTCCTTTTAAGGGAGTACGTACGTTCCCCCGATCGATTAACATGAGCGGCATTAACCTGTCTCTCCAAGTTAAATGCCAAGCTCTACAAGAGAGTGTCTTGGGGAGGAGATTCGTGAAGCTTAGCTTACAAAGGAGTGCAGCTTGGCTGGCTGTTGTGGTGGACACTTGGCTGGCTCCCAGTTTACTCCACACTTCAGACAGCGACGGTGCCACTAGCGAACCGTCAGTTGGCCACATTTTGGGGCTTATTTACTCTCTCGCCCCGCGTTTTACTGGCATATACGAACAAAAATACTGTGGATATGGGACAGGTAGAGCATACAAACGCAACAAAGGCTAGTGGTTCTTCCTTGGCTGGGATGGTCAGTACAACCGGAAGAGAAATTATCTGTGCAACGAAGTGATATGGTCCTGTTCGTCCGTAACTGGCATTACCGTGCGCACCTCCGAAGCTTGCTCGCCACAATTACCGATTCTCACACAAAGTGTGGCTTTCTTTGGAGCACCAGTAAACCACGGCTGGACGCATCCAGCCAACGGGCATCTCTAGTCATTGTTTATGCCGTGGCAGGGTGAACTATCATGCCCACCGACTTCTGTTCCAAGCAATTTCGCAGGTTGAACTTTCTTTGCAATGTCTTACTCGTCTTTGCTTGACAATCTTTGTTGTGCAATACCTGTGCATCGCACGTTTGATTAAAACACTGCTTGTGCATGGTACTCTTGGACTTCCACGAACGATTATAGCCACACCAGTAAGGTGGCAAGGTGCTTGCAGTCACTCCTGAATTACCTGTAGGCGCCAAAAAGCCTCGTACACTCCGAAAATAACGCCCTTTCTGTCACTTGAATATATGAGATTCGGCAGTGGGCATCAATAAAATTGAGCCCTATTCCTTCGCTTAAGCATTTAGAAGAATTTGCATGATGAAAACTGGAACCAGCCCGCAAATTAATAGTTGCAGTACAGGATAAAGAGATATTGCTTCTTAGGCTTGTTTGAAAGGGGAAGCAACCCTAGGCAGCTACAGTAAGCGTACACCATCCCCAATTTGAGTTTCTATGGAAAGAAGCTGCTGTTCTGCCGAATGCGATTTGGTAACCAATAATACTGAACAAAAGCACCTGTGCTTAGCCAGGTAGAAGTTTATGTCGGAGCACACGTCTGGATCCCAGCCCCCAGGGTCACTGCATGCTGTCAGCCAGGCTCCCAAACTCTGCTGTAGGCGACTGAATGCAAGCAGATGGGGGCTTGCACACAATATGGACTAGTACAACATAAAGTTGTTTTGTTGCGTTATCAAATGCATTCAAACACTGTCGTGCGGCACGATGCTTAAAGTGGCCTGCTTGGCCATAGAGCCCAGGCCGGCACTGCAACCTGGTGGTGAATCTGTATTGATTCCTCTCTTTGAGCTGAATTTACAACTTGTCCTTTGATATTTTCTTTTACACTGTTGGGAACTCAGCGTAGATGAGTATTCCAAGGAGCCTGAGTGAAGCCCCCGCTTGTACGGTACTTCGCCTGAAGTCCATGCTCTGCTACAGCAGCTGTCTCTAGCTTACGCTTCTTCTCCTATCTTGGAACGATTTGCAAAGCTCTGTAGCGTTGATTTCTTGCTTATGCCTGCTGAATGGTATGCGAGTGACATTGGTGGCCCCGCCGGATAGCTATGCTACGGTGACGAGCACTGGCCTCCAGGCTAAACTAATAGGAAGGGGACATATCCTGCAGCGTAGTTCAAGCTTCACCTTTGGTGTGTAGATTCACATGACAGCTAACAAATTCCCTTCAGGATCTAGAGAGGACAGAAGTTGTCCGACAGCTGGAGATGGTAGTGCCAAAGTCTGGTCGTGTTTGCCCCCTGTAGAAGATGCTAAGGCATCGCATATCACGCAGGAAGACGACTGGTTTCCTCCTTCCCAGTGGCCTAGCAGCGGGAGCGCCAGTAACAATAGTACTGATCGGCTAAGCAGTCATGGATGCTCCGGACCACATGGGTCACCACTGAATTCGGAGCCGCCGGCGATATTCTCACATGAGTTACTGCGGGAAGCGGATAGCTGGAACACAAAAAACCAAGCGCTCTGTGAAACCCTAGACTCGGCTCAGGGAGTACGCCAAGATGCTTGCAGACCTGAACATCTCACTAGAGGAACTGGCTCTCCAAGGGCATCGACGAGTGTATCCTCTTTGGGGGCTGATGGCGTCACAGTTGGAGTACTCCAGTTGCCACAACAATGCGCCGGATCGTGGACAAACCGGACCGGGTGCAAGAAGGCGCTGGTCTGTGGGCCCCTCTCTGTACAGCAGACCCTAACAGAACGTCAGTTGGACATCGAAAAGCGAATGGTAGAAGTACGACAGCAAAACAGACGTCGCTTGCATCGAAGGCAGCAAGAGGCTAAGGAACAGCAGCTACAACGCATGAGAGAACACCGTGCAGCTCTGTTGGCTAGGAGAGAAAGGATAAAGCTGGCATCGGTGTGGAAAGAAAGAGGAATGGCCGCAGCAGCTAAGCCCTCGACAATTTTTAAGGGGAGGGGAAAAATGGAGCGCATTCCTTCAGACGCTTCTCAAGCTACAGAAAATGACACTCGAAGCACAGATGAGCTGCTCGCAGCACTGGTGATTTCAGAGTCAATATCCCTCAACACGGAAATCGGAACCAGTGAAGATGGCATCAATACAGGTCAGCATATAGTGCTACTGTAATAAATAGTTAAGAAGCACACTTTACGAAGGTTGCTTCGTCCGTGTTGTTGCGTGCTCATACCTTCTATTCCTTTGCATATGTGATGATCATCCACTTCCAATGAGAAGGCTGCGGCATTGTTGCCAGTACAGGTCTCATGCCTGGTGTCTGATGTGGCAGATTTGGCAAAAAGGGCAACCTATCCACCATCGAGCTACCGTTGCCCGGGTCGTCTGCCAGAGGATAAGAATGTCTCAGCACGTCTTGCTACATTGCAGCATACGGTGAGCCAAAAGAAGCGTTTGACCGTACGAGACGAACGCACTGGACAGATATCCTTCCACAAATACTTAAAGGGAGTGCTGGACGTGCCGGTGCACTGACACGGACACGCGTCACTGCGGACGGGTCTGGTCTTCAAGCAACTTTCGTTGGTCTACTTCCGGAACTGCCTTATCACGCTCTAGTTCGATTGTATGCTGGTGACGCATTGAACAAGCATATGCTAGCAGATCCCCCAATTTACATATGAGTATGAACATATGTCAACGACTTTTGGGACCTGCAGGTATCTGCTTCTCCAAACTGTGATCAGCATAAAGATTCTCGCTTCAACAGATACCTACGAACAGTACGGCAACCCACTGATGAACCTAGAAGAGCAAACATTCGCTCTTCCTTACCGGGAGCCTCCAATAAACCTAGGGAACAGGCCACCTGTACCCTTCCCGGTTCGTTGATCCGTTGCCAGCGAGGGAATAGACTGGCTTCATCACAGAAGATGGGCTCTTTACTCCCGCAGTTCCAGGGCATGCCATATGTTCCTAACAGCCCCAGCCAGGCGCAATCTCTCCGTAAAGGAGCCGTTCCCTTAGCCCTGCGCCGTCCTGCAAAACCAGGGGTGAAGCAGGCCGCTGCGGAGGAGGCTTCCAACTCCTCTTCGCAGCGTGGGGAGGGCCGAAGCTCTTCCTCTTCAAAGGAGCAAGAAGGCGAACATAAAAGGCAAGTGAGCCGTAAAATAATGCCGGCGGTTGTCGTAGTTGACCAACTTCTTAAGAAGCAACTTGATGTTCAACTGCAGCAGCATAAACAGCATGGCTTGACAAGTCAAAAAGGCAGACACTGCGTCACTGATACCCCATTAGATCATTTATCTCCATCAGTTTCATCTGTACGGAATAGCACAAGCGTCTGTAGGCCTCCAACGACAAGGTCAAAGGCAACGCAGGAAATTGGGGCGCCAGAAATAGCAAAATCTGCTTATCTACCGGTGCACGAAGTTGCCGATATCGCGAATACATGTCAGCAAAAAGAATGCATGCTCCCTTCCATCCCTTGTAAAGAAAGTGCTAGTATGCAGCCGAGGAGCAGGTGCGCTCCTGAAGAGACAGACGTTCCATGGGTTGCTCATACGGAGAGGCTGATATGTAGGCTAGACAACTTCATGGCTACCGAACCAGAAAATGCCAGCTCAGCTGCGCCCAATATGTGGGCAGGGTCTGCCGAGGCACAGCCTAAAGGGGTACAGCTCGTGCGTATATGTGCAAAAGGCCTATCCAAGCGTGAGCTGGAGGACGTTGGACCCCCTGACCCTCGTAAAGCACCCAGAGAAACTTCCTACATGGATGAAAGTGCCTCGAATCGTGCGGCGAGTCAGCAGATGCCGTTGGGTGAGAAGGATCGGTGCATTATGCGTCTCCCATCATCACATGGCGAGCCAGACGGCAGCAGTGGTGCAACAAAGCCACAAGGTGAGATCGATAAGAATATAGGGCACGCGGAAACCAAAGGTGTAGAGCAAAAATTGCAAGCATCGACCCAGAACGTGAATGTTCAACTGATTGGCGATGAATGCCCAACACTTTCAGCAGTATGGGCCCTTCAACAGGCAGAAGTAGAAGAGGAGAAGCGGCTTCTACTACTTGAGATGTCGCATCACGCTATTGCGAAACATGCGGAAAAAAGAAGGAAGGAACAGAACCTGCAATCTCAACTACTGGCACAACACTTCCAAATGAAGCACCCCAACAACCCTGGAACTTTTGCCACGAGCTCCCAGCCGCTGCCTAAGGGACAGCCTTGTGCTGACTCCTGCTCGCTTGTGGTACATCCAGTAAAAGATTCGCTAAGGACTAAAACTGAGCGTTGCACTCCCCAAAAGCCAAGTGAGGAGTGCGCGTGTAGGGAAATTCCTGCCCGTTCTTATGCCCCTTTCTTTGTTCCCAAAGAAGAAAAAATGCAGACTGTTGGGGATCCAACCCAGCGCGCTCAGAGCGGCAAGCATTGGCGCTTGGGTCCTGCCTTCCGTGCTCTCAAGGCTTCCACTAGGACAACTCCTAGGCCAAAATTGCGCAGTTTGTCACCCTCAAAAAATCCGCGAGAAATATGCAGACCAGCGGGAATGACTATCTGTGGGGACGATAAACTCCAGGACGACGGACGGGAGCACCAATTGCAGAGCGGTTTTCTGTTGAAGCAGCACCAAACCCTCATCAGTCAACTTCTTCAACAAGGTCTTTTGGCAGGCCACAACAGAGGAAGAACTGAGGTCACGGGAACGGCTGTTTTCTCATCAGATTCATGCTTGCCTTTATGCGGGCATCGTGAAATGCAGGATACTTGCCTCCAGGTGAGAGCCATACAGCGGCGCACAGTCCTGCAGGCCCTACAGCACCTACTTCTTTTCCCCCCGAAGACCTATCACCGGAATACACTGAAAAAGGAAAGTAATCTTGGAAAAGGATGGAAGGCATTTCCACGGATGGACCAAAAGCGGGAAATTAATCAACGGAACTACCAAACGCAGGTTTCCTTGGGACAGTCACGCAATCCTGCACCTTGTGCCATAAAAAGCATTATCCCAGAAGGAACTGAAGCAGAAAGTCGGTTGTTCGGTAGCGCCTCATTGATCAAGAGTGGTGCAAGTGGGTTGCCGTCGCTTCGCTTCATTAGCTGGGAGCGTGGAGCCCATTAGGCACAGATTACCTTAGTTTCTGGCTAAACCGCTCGAGACAGGGGCCCCAACTGCGAATGGAACACTGTGGGTGCACATGGTTTTCGGTCCCTTCGGCATCCAGAATTCGCCAGAGAACCTCTTGCAAAGGGCTGTACGAATTGTTTTGAAGTAAAACCTTTAGCGTTGTGTTTTTTCTTCAACAGCCAGATTGAGACCTATTTCTTTATTAAAGATTTTTGATTCAAGGTCAGATTCTGTGTGACCATATTCGTAGGATATTTTATCTGGATAAAAGAGTTTATCCAGTACTGCAGTGGTTTCGATGGCCCCTATCTAGCACGTAGCTACTTCCAAACACGCCAGCTAGCGAGCAAGGACACAATACTTGTAAGGCGTTCTCCGTCTCTGACTAGGTTCTTCGAGGAGCAGCCACAAATCAATCCCAGGCGAGACGGAATGTAGGAGGCAAACCTAGAGTACTTGAGATCACCTCGAACTCAATTTTCTTGTACCGGCGTGAGCATTGTTGTTGGTGTCTTCTTCCATACACTCGCCAAAGCGAGGGTAGGAAGGGGGTCACAGTTCCAATGTAGAACATTCCTGAGGCTAAACAGCCCGGAAAAATTCCTGCTAGACGCCAGGCAAGCCTTGACGTCCCTCTCCGGTTGCGACTTCTTCTAACGGCGCAGCAAGTAGGACAAGTGCCTACAGGATACAGCACCAAAATTGACTCAGCATCCATAGTACGTGAGGCGGAAACTAGCTGGCGACGTCTGAGGCTTCCGCAGAGCTAACGGCTATAATACGGCTGCTACACTGTAAATCAAGCCTCTGCACGCCAATCGATAGTGTTGTGACAATTACTACGTCGGTGTGCTTTGGGAACCCACGCTCAGGGGATGCTCCAACAGTATCACTTTCAAAGGGAGCTGACGAGCAGGGTAGGAGTGGTGAGCGCGTCACGTGGGTCGCGGATACCTGCCTACGTAGAGGCTCTGCCCTCCCACTGATGTGGCTTCTATTTAACAGAGCTGAACTATGAAAATCGTATTTGTTACCGATGACCTAGCTGACTGGTTGCAGCACATTGCAGTTACGAAACCTATCCATCACTATTTTTCACATCGTAAGCCTTAGCTACTTTCAGTCTACTTTATCAGTAAAGACGTCGGCATCCAGCTTACACACAGCTTCTTTACAGTTAGGCGGGCAACACCACCATTCCACCACAACAACGCAACTGACGCGATCCGTACCCAATATCGTAGAGGTTAGGAGCCAGACAGTTGTCATCGAGAAGTGCGTTTAACACTTGCATGCAACGAGAGTCCTCGACCTTGGCCGAAGACCGTCGTGAACTGCAAGAGTCAACGCACATAACAAAAGAGTTCGCAAACAGCAGCTGTCCTGCAGTCCAGTTTGCGGTGTCCTGGACATAGCAACACAAATTTCTCAAGCTGGTTTGGATAGGACACGGCCTCTCATGAGTTGCATCGTTCCCTTCTGCGACACCCTGTGCAAGGCAACCCCACTTAGGTCCTTACCAGAGCACCATTTTAATGCATGAGCTAAAACTGTACAAAATTGTTAGACGCATACATTGACCCTACTATTCAACCTGCACTGAAGTAGAAATGCATGAAGCAACTTCACAGCGAGCAAGCTACATCTGACTCCCTCCTCTCTCCAAATAGCTCTTGCCCTCTTACGCCTGTTTGACCAACCAAGGGTTGGTGCACGCAGAGTGAGGCAGGATGCTTTGAGTTGGAAGGAAAATGAAACAAAGCAGAAAAGGCTGGCAACTGCGGCTGTCACTTCTGTTTTCTGCTGCTGTCAACCCGCACATCGTCGTGACTAGCCGGCGCAGTGGCCACAGCATTGGTAAAATAAGTCGCTCTTGGCCTTGCCCCTTGGCTGGGAGCCGCTGTTTAGTAGGGGCACCCTAACCTCGTCAAACGTATGCAGGGGACTGTCAAGGGCAAGCAAGAATAGTGCTTGAATGCGTCAGGGGTACGGCAAGCCGCTACGAGTCCGAAAATAATGAAAAACTGAGGGTGTGTGCACCGCCTATCTGCCCGTACACAAAGGGAAGAAACCTATACTACTGAGAGAAAATAACTGGCGCTGTAGGGTTCTCTCCGCTGTACACGCCAACACTTACATTCGCCGCTACTGAGTTGAGGATGGTGAGTATGTGCGCCAGAAATTTCTACGCACAAGCAACCCGCAGAAATCCGCTGCGGGTGTCGGTCTCCCGGCCTTTCAACGTAATATCCACACGTGCTCTGTAGCCTCTCCTTGACGTTTGAGAGGATCTGAGTCTCGCCCAGTTGCCGCTTTCCGCGAAGCCTTTGTCGTTGTTGCCGTTCTCCTGGAAGAGTTCGAGTAAGATTTGGTGGTTCCGTTAATGGTGAGTATATAATGCAAGCCAGAAAGTTGAGCAGGGAACTCAAAGGAGCCTGACTCGACGCTTGGACAACTTCACCTTGCCCTCCTGCGAGCTCGGTAGAGCGTGCGAATCTCCTGCAGCCAAACTACCTGGGTTAAGTAACTGAAAACCCCGTGAGTTTTAGTTTGCTGCCTTGCTTTCTGTGGCTTTTTTCATGCATTCACGAGCTGCTGCAACCTGCGTTTGGAAGTTTGCACCTGCAGGCCTATGGCGCTTTATGCCAACGTGTGAACATTTGATGATCATTGAGGTAGCTACAAAAATATTGGGATGACATTTTTGGTATGCCCGCCTCTGGAGTCCGTCGACTGCCAGAAAGGCTTCCATCACAACGCATGCCCTGGGCTGGACCAAAAGTAGGGCTCAGATAGGGAAAATGAAGCTTTTATTCCAATGGAAGCACAATGCGTATGGGGATCGTCGGTAAGACTACGGGGCCCGGAGACTACAGGGGGTGGCTGTCCCGCATGGCTAGGACGCGGTATACCCACTGTTTCTGCATCAAGTGGTACAGACCTATCAGGCCTATGGCCAGCGGCGTTCAACAGAAAAGGAAAATGACAGGACGAAGCGTGCTTGCCACTGTGTCCACTGGTGGCAATTCCGGAATTAAGGGGTCCTCCAGAATAAGGCATGCTGCACATGCCATTATTTGGAGGCTCCTTGATTTTTCGTCAACTTGGCCACAGATGCCCCACGGAACACTTTCAGAATCTCAGAAAGCTACGACGAACCCGATGAGGCTTGCCGGCTGCTGCCCAACACCTTCTCGATGTGGTACGGGCTCTCCGTACATTCCCAGGGGCAGATAGTGACGGGAGTCGGGAAAGAGCTCAGCAGCCCGCCAGACGAAGCCACGAATTCAGGAGCAGTGAACTCTTTGTCCTCGGAAAGTGCGGGGGTGCGGCCAACTCAGGCAAGCAAGCCTCCAAGGAAGCAGAAGCAACGTCTGACCTCAGCTGTGTTGCGAGAACGGAGAGGGGGCAGTTGCTCTGGCATTTTCTCCTGTTGTTCCTTACAAAGGGTCGGTATTTGAGGAAGCTCCACGTATTCCAACTCTCCAAACCATTCATTTACCCTCATATTGGCTGAATAAGTTCCTGGAGGCACTTGGGACATTTCAATCCTCTCTGCTTACTCAATTGCAACAGTGTCGTTCCGGCTCCCCATCCACTTGCCCTGTGGTATTCTTTTCACCTGTTCCGTTTGAGTGATAAAACCAACCACCTTCAGGAAGACGGAATACCCCGGAACTTTACCCAGTGTTCACATTGCCACTATTCCCTAGGTGTGCCCGAGGTTCAACTAATTTGAATCATGGCCCATGGAACGCGCCTCTCCTCCTCATACACTCCAATGACCCGTGCGCCTGGGGCTTTAACTGGGAATTACTTCTGTCCACAAATTAGAAAGTGGTGAGATGAAAATCTGCAGGAAGATGGCCTGGGTTGAACGTCAATAACTTAATTTCCCAGAGCTAGCGCAACCCATTCCCCTCTGTTTTTGGCGATGGACAACATGAAACATAGATTTATATATTCTATAGGAAAGGGGGGATTTCTACCCTTGAGTAAAGCGGCATGAGGAGAAGGGGCGTGGGGCCAAGTTGTAGCTAAGCGGCTTTCCCAGCGCCTCTTAATCCCACCAGCAATCGTGCACACTTCTGTTTGAAAGCAATTAACAAAATCACTGAGCTGAGTTGGGGCTCCCAGGTGTTTCGAGCGTCTTTTGGTGCATCCTTAGTTAATGCCTCTTTGTCATTTCTCTAGGGCTTCCAAATATCACCTAGGTTTTACATATAATTAAGTTGGCCCAGGATTCGGTAAAAAGCAACGCAAAGAACTGCCGTCTCATCCCAACAACGCCGGGTTTCCCGAGGAGAAACTAGCTGCAGACACAGTTGACAACGGGCTGGAGCTGCTGCAGAGATGATCCAGTGGAGTTGCAGCACTCCTTGCCTCAACTCCTGCTGCACCTTGCAGAGTTGGGTGCCTGGAGGGCTAGCAATTATCAGAGCCCCACCTACTATATCACGCTACATCATTTATCATTGCCATACAATTAAAAAACGTTTTTCTCGCCTCTGTGCTGCCCGAGCCACGCTTCACACTCGCCTTGGTAGCACCCGAGGCTGCAGCAGGAGTTCCGGCAAGGAGTGCTGCAGCTCGTGGGAGGGTGGATCCGCTCCGCAGCAGCCCCACACACATTTCTGCAGAACAAGCCTGGGAATTTGAGAGTAACTCAGGTCCTTTGTGGGAGTCCTTTTCTAAAGTACTGTTGCAGCCCACGACCTTGGCTGAAGTCTGGAGGACTCCCTACAAAAGTGTCAGCAGCTTTTGAAGTTGGGCTCCCGAGTCAGTCACCATACCCAATCTAATTGTAGGAATTTTAACTAACAGAGTATTACAAAAAAACTTCAGAAGTTTTTTTGGACTTGCAGTAACCTTTCTGGTTGTTTCCATCTCGACTCCACAGTTTAACTCATGGAGTCCCTCGGAATTTTTGCATTTAAATTACTTATTTATAAAAAAATATTATTCCCATTATGCTTTTCTTTGTAGTTATGCCAGGTTTATCTGGTGGATACGGTAACTATTTCTTACCAAAATCCCTTAATGAGGCACCAGCTATACGTCTTCCCGCAGCAACAGCAGCGGGTGGCAGTAAGCGGCTGCATATGCCTTCCAGTAAAGGCTACAGTTGCAACGTCAACAGGGGTAGGCAAAGTAAGTAAGTTACTGAAAATTGTTTAAGCATTCGCCCTGAAGTCTACTGAAATTATACCGTTTTCCTTTTCACCTGCCTTCCTGGCATCTGGACCATTTCGGCGCTTTCCCCACTCTGTGCTGTATTCAAGCAACAAGGATACAGGAGACACTGCATTCCTTGTAAAGCGCTCAAAACTCTGAAAAGCAATCTTTCGGGAAGCGTTTTCTGCATTGGCAGGTGGAACCTGCAGAGCTCTCCTGGCAGCCTAATGGAATCTCAGGCCGTCTGAGCGCGCAGACGAGTTACTTTACTGCAAAAAAATGCAGAATACATTTTGCAGTTGAAGCGCACATTACTGAAGAATGGTAATACATGCTCAGTTGGATAGCACCTCATACCTCTACGAACCAGCGTTGCCAGTAGCCGCTCTCAACTGTCCCGGCAAAATGGCATAGGTGCGTTAGCACGGTTGATGGTGGGCACAAACGCGTGCTACAATCTCCACTGAAAAAATCATGATGTGTATATAACGATATTTTGTAATATTGAAAGAAAAAAAAACGGTGCCGCATTGAAGAGACGGATTCCACGTTCCAGGGAGACACAGTCGGCTACAGGCCAGTGGCAGCGCCGTGAACCAGCCGCCCAGCTTGCCGAAGATTGGCACCTGTATTTAGTGAAACGTTGCAAGCATTTTTGCTTCGCTTGTGTAATGGGTCCCTTTCACGCAAAGCCTGCCCCCGCATCCATCGGGGCCATTTCATACAAGCTGAGCTGGCCCACGCACGCTATGCTTTGTAATCCTGAATGATAAGCTCCCTGATGGCGTCAGCAACTTCCTTGATATACCACATGGGAAATGCTCCCAGATTTTTGAAGGTTTTGTTGTTCTTCCGTGCAAATGCCCACAGTTGGCAATTACCGGTTAGCATGAGCAAGTCATGGGGCAGGCCATGTGAAGACTGAAGGTAGGTTGCTCTGCGGGATTTCCTGTTCCGTTACTATATTTGACGCTTCTAAAGCATCTGTTCCCGAATATTGCCGTGCTTGGCTAAGGAACCAGCTCGCCCTCAAGGGACAAGACGATTGGGCTGAATGTGTAGTTAGCGCTCGTTCCCGCTGCACCGGAATTCCAAGGCAGTTCACATATAACCGCAGCGAAGCAGAATGGATGAGGTAGAGGGATTGTGGAAAGATTTCCAGCAGGCAAGTATTGCCGGGGCTGATGATGGCCCACTTCCTCTATCTAGTTTCCAATTCCCCCGAAGAAAAGCCAAACGTACCGTGCACGGTAAAATATTCAACATCCACCGGACGCTGGCTACCCTTTCGCCGAAACCAACAATTGATATCCCTGCCCAAAATGAGAGCGCTGGGACGGTATTCAAAGGCGCATCCACACCTGGATACAGAACGGTTTACAGTATCGACAGCTGGCAGTTTATAGCATCTACGGTGCAGCGACAGGTCAACACCCTCAAGGAAGAATGCACCAATGCTAGGAGATGTGGTGCCCTGGCGACGCTTAGAGACCTCTTCTTAGAAGCTTCAGTGCCGAATGTTTTCTACAACAGAACCTTCACTTTATTACTTGACCCCCTGCTACTGTGCCTCTCGGAGCCGTCTGAGGCAGCCCGGCATACGGCTGCTTGCTTACTACTGAGGTTCCTGACTGAAGTGGCAGACGTTGATATAGTCCTTGGAGATGTGCTGCGTGGGTTGGCTTCGAGGTTTGGTTCCGGAGATATCGAAGGTGTTGCACATCTCCCTCCTCTAATGCGTCCAGCGCCTGAGTACAAGCCTCTGCAGATGATGCCCATAGAAAAAAGTGAAGAAGTAAGGAAAACTTTGCTTCGAGTGCTCCAAACAGTGCTTAATCGGACCTCGGACAAATCAGCTTGGGGCCACCTCGACTTGATCACAGGCCTCATACGCGCGGCAACTATGGATATCTGCCACGAGATCAAATTTGCTGCGCTGCAAACCGTCGTCGAATTTTTCGACCGCCACCAAAATATGCTGCTTCATTTTACCGAACCAGTAGCAAGATCAATTCTTTCATGTCTTGTGCACCAACATGCTAGGATCCGAATGGGAGCTCTTAGAGCGCTGACTCATGTTCTTGCTTGTGGCTTGTACAAGTACAACGGCGAGATAATCCAGATGCTAGCGGGGTGGCGTGATCCGAACATTGTTCCAATCAAGGCGTTGTATGAAACGACAACAGTCCGCAACTATTTTGCCGAGCTCCTAGCAGACCAGTCGCCTATGGTCCGAATGCTTTTTTTCGACACCGTCGCGCGGTGGCTACACGAATTTAAAGACAAGGCAGACTACGAAACATGGATCTTCCCTTATCTTCTGAGCGGGCTTTTCGACTCATTCAGACCCATACAGCAGTTGGTATTTCGACTTCTGGAGATTCTGGGTAGGCAGTACGAAGCTACGCATGAAAAGGACCTTCGCAACATTAAGCAGCTTGGGACTCCTGAACCCTGGAGCTACGGTGGGCAAGCCTGCCTTAGTTTCCCTTTAGGAGGCTACTGGGATTTGGCCGACGCGAGCAAAGTGCGTGATGAGACAGAACAGTTCGTGTCGTTTGTTAGCACGTACAGCGAACGCTTGCACTCTCTGGGATTTAATGGCTACTCTCTGTCTGAAAGCCAAAAAGAAAAGTTCACCAAACCGGGCGGCGCGCTCGTGGGCGATCCACCAAGGCCCTGTCTTGGAGCGCGTATGATGGTTAGAACGTACTTTAGACGTTACGCAAACACACTTTTCCAGCGCGTGGAGGACTTCAAGGAAGTTACCATGGCAGCATCGGCTCGCCTGATGGTGATTACTTTCGCCTTCATAGAGGAAGCGTGTGTTGAATGGCTTGATAGTACCTTGTCAATTTGCTGCCAACACCTGTCCGCGTCTCATCAGGCTTCGCCACAGGCGCTGGAAGCGTATAAAGTAACTGCACGCCTAATAGGAGCTTTTGTCGATCCCGAAATATACTGGGATTTTGTGAAATGTGCACTTGAAGAGTCCTGCCTAGAGGAAACTCATGATAGAGTTGCGAAGGTTGGCTTGCTGGCACTAATGCTAGAAGGCTCATTCGCGGTCCTTCAGAAAACCTCCAACTCAACTCTGGGCTTGGGCCGTCTTAAACCAGTGGTGCCCAAGATTGCTGAAGCACTCTGCTACACTCAGCTTCTACAGGAGCAATACGTCAGATTTGCTGCTGAAAGCGTGACCAAGGTCCTTCAAGTCCTGATACCTGGTGTAGTTAGGCAACACGAAACTCTACCCTTGACGACATGGCATCATCTGCTAGGCGCCATTTGCTCTCTTGCAGCTCCTGATAGTGTAGACCTGGATGCCGGTGACAGCAACCCCTTAGCTCCACATCTCCGGGATCTACTTGACAACTTGGCTATCTGCAGTGGGTTTGCAACCAATGAATTATCCTCTTTGAAGGAAAAGGATACACTGTGGCACTTGGTTGAAGTCTCCAGCGGCTGTCCGCCAGCAAATTTGGCAGCACTGAACACATATGTAAGGTATTTGCCGTGCGCAAGCATCCGCGAAGAGGAAACTTTCGAGCTTCTTCTTGAGAAGCTGCAAGAATTTTCCTCAGCAACACAAAAGGCTGCAACGAGAAGAGGAACCAGGCGGACAGCTTTGAGGCTTATCAAGCGGCTGGTATTGGAGAGCCCACTGACTAATCAATCAAGCGACACAGACAGCAGTTCTCCAGTTATCCAGTTAAGCTGTGCGTTTCCAGCTTTAAAAGCTAGCATTAACTGGGACAATTTATCGTCTCGAGAACCTACAGAAGCACAGGCCAATGTGACGGCACCGGAAAAAAAGGTGGAAAGCTCAGAAAACCGAAATAAATTGCTAAAGTCCCCAATACAGGCTGCAGCGAAGATATTGACCAGCATATTGCTTAATAAGCTGCGCCAGTTGGACTTTGCCGACGATTTGGAAGATACTCTACTAGCCCTGACGGAGTTTTTTACTCTGCCTCAACCACCAAGTTGCGCGATTTCGCTCCACGAAACTTTGGAAACATCAGGATTCATTAGGATCTTGGGCCGGTTTCTGCAAGACCATGCTCTGCACAGACGACTTTTTTGCGTTGCTTGCGGAGTGTATGCTGAAGAATGTGCTGCCAGATACCCTAAAAAGTACCCTGCCACGGTGTTGGAGGACATCCCATTGGGGAAACGCCGAGAACTACGTTTGTCTGCCATCAAGGCTTCAGCAGCTCTAAAGGGCCAAGCTGTGCTGCTGATGAGACTCTCTTTACCAGTCGTGCTTAAAAGCTGCATTAGCCTCAAATGCCTACTGAATGCATTGGTTGGGTCACTTCATCCGCCCAGCACGCTTCAGCAGCTGCAGGACATGCGTATGGGAGAGAATAATGATGCCTCCTGGAATAAGCTTAGCTCTTGCGAAGTCGAAATGGGCCTAGACGACGCTTGCGACCAATGTAGGGAGAAGGCGGCGGCCCTGGTAGAGGACAAAACTGGACAGGGAGATAATCGCACTGTTCCGCACTGCACTTCATCCTTACCTTTTCAGCCTCAAAGCCCATGGCTCCTGTTTCAAATTGCTGGCTGTATTTGGGATGCAGTAAGTATGGTGATATCTTGCCATGTTAGTTCAGCCAGCCGAGACGCGAACACCCATGTGCCCGGCAAGCGCCTTGCACTTTGTTTTCCCCAGTCATTAGTAATGCCGCGAGCTTGGCACCTCCCGGTGCACAGCCATCTTCAGCTTGAAAGCGCAGGCCGAGCTCTTCTTGAGCTGTGTACGGAATCTGAGCTAATTCGGGCAGTCGATAGCTGCGTTAGGCAGATTGTCGAAATTCAGGGACCAGCCTCAACAGATGCAAAGTTGTTCATGGACAAGTTCAAAAACGATTCAAGACACCGCACCGAAACGAGCCCCAGTCTAAAAGAGGCCGTTACAATGGCAAAAAGCCAGGTAGAGAGTCTACCAGCTGAAACCCAAAAGGAGCAAGCAGTCCTTGCTCTTATGTACGTCATACGGCTGTTTGGCATCGTCCGCCCTAGCGCTATTCAGGAATGCATAAAACAGTATGACTACAAGGGACATTTTAGCCGGCGTGAAGTTTTGGTTCGCATCCTTGGCAATCCCACCATCGCCCCATCTGGCTCTTTAGAATCAGCAACATTTAGCAACCAGCCACGTCTTGATGTTGCATAGGAAAATGCGGCCCCCCAGAAATACTGTAGTGGTTGACATGAGCGCATCAAAATGCCTGAGAAAAAAGCGCTGTTCTTTTTAAGAGGGACATGGAGAAACAAGCCAGTTACAAGTTGCCGGCGCTCTGCTGTGACGCGGAAGACCACATGAGCGTTGTGGGGCCCGCGCCGTCCCCGAACTATGCTGTAACTGCATGGAATGTGGCAAAGGAACTGCCGAGTAACTGCGTGCAAGCCGTTAGGTAAAATGGAAATACGCTGAAGAAATAGCAGAAAGCACTGCGAGTAGTAGCTCGAAAGTGTGATTGTCAAGGCCAAAAGCGTTGCACTCCGAGGTAGCTGCGGCAGCAAGATTACCAATTCACGCTCATGCTTCTCGAAGCAGGCCCAATTCCCAAAACATGCATAGAATCTGAAGACCTGATTGCGCAGCGGTTCTCTTAGCAAGAGCTCTTACTTTAAACCACGCAGCTCTGGAATGCTTGTAGGGTCTTTAGAATACGACAGGGAGACCAAGAGCCTTTGCTGGGGGGGTGCGGCAGGCGTGTCTCTGGCTTTGGAATAATGGGAGAAGGCAACCATCCTGAGCTGTCGGCAGTCCACCCCCTCCTAGACCGTCGACAGTCCTTGAGCAAGCGTTGCATCCAACGCTGTGGTAGAAGTAGGCCATTCTGCGTCCTAAGGATATCGAAATTTGCCGAGAGAACCTTCAATCCCATTTGACCTCGGTCCTGAGGCCCTGTGCTGGGGTGTCTCCAGTAGTATAAACTGAACCCCCTTCAGACAATATTTAGCCCCAGGATTAACCTTCAGGCTTTGTTCAACAGGCGTAACGCGAGTTCCCGGCATGAGCCGTGAATCCTTGTGAGCTGGAACAAAATGGGCGAGGGTTCGCAGCATTGGCGCTGGAACCTCATTGGCTGCGACAAAGCGGAAACCGAACATGTTAAATCTTCCCCAAAGTAGCTCTACACCTCCAAGGCTTTTAGGCATCCCGAACACACCGGTATACGGTGTGGGGCAGATGGACAAAGAAGGGTGGTCTCTCCATACGGCCTCGCGTTCGTTGCTAAAGCTTATCCCGCACATGTGAAAGCAAGTGCAAGCCTTCCCTAGCCTCTTTCTCATGCATGCGTGAACACTGACTTAAGTTGGAAGAGCTCTTGATAGAACTTAAGTGGGAAACGCATATACATAGATCAGTTCTCCAGCTACGAGATACCCAGCTGCACCACTGGCTTTCATGGGCCAGCAGCAATAACCCCCGAGATGCCGCGTTCAGGTAGTGTTGGCCGGGAATTAAGTCCGTATTACGGAACATATTCAAAGATCCATATTGAAACAGCTCCCTGTTCTTACCCATTGTGGTGGGTTAGCTGCTGTCACAAAAAGGGAGCAGTCTCCGGAGGCCATGCGCATCTCGTACAAGAAGTCTTTTCCAGGATGAAAACTATTCATACAAATCACAAGTAAAATATGCATTGAACGTCAGGGACGGATTTAAAAACTATAAATAATAAATTTATTTATTTATTATACTTACAGTGATTTATAGATTAATAAATCTTCCTTCAATTACATTTAATATATAATTAGATGTATTTAATCAAACCATGTTATTATTTATTATTATTATTTAATTAGTATTTAATAGCCGTTCTAAATCAGTAGATTTGCAATAGCAGCTTCCCACAAACATCCCAAGCAACCTTTACTTTGAATACCCTCACTTGCCTTTGGCCATTTTTACGAGCCCAGGATTTCAATAATCAATGCTTTGTCATCGAAGACCTCAAATAACTTTGTGTACCCCGGCATCAAACATTCACGGTACTTTGAGTTGTTCACACACTGCGGATCCAATATGTGGGCATGGCGGGTTCCAGAGTCCAAACATCTGAAGCTTCTTATTGAGAATTGGGTACGTCCAAAGCGGTGAACAGTTAAGGACAACTGCCAAGGAAAGATGCCGTGGAGAGTGCATTTGAAGTTCGTTCCCCCGAGTGCTCCTTTAACCATCCAAAAGCAGTCTTGGCTGACGGTTGAAGCCACAAACTCAATCTGCTAGTGCTTTTTGAGTTTCCACATACACATGGATGCTTGTTGAGCAGCTTATTGCCTTGCAGATTCATACCCGCAGTGTCGTTGCCCGAACGTGAGCTAAAATGCCACCGAATACTTCGAAATATCGCAGCGGCCAACGTACGACGTGTGCCGATATAAAGCACGCTTCCATACGTGCTCGAGTAGAAAAGTACTACACTAACACACTCAGCCATTTAATATTTAGTCAATCAAGCGTCACAGCTGCGTGCATAGCCACGCTGTAGTCCATGAACAGAGCTGCTAACGCATGCAAATTTCTCGGAATCACAACTGAAGACGACTGGCTTTTCTACTAGTGAATTGCACACTATAGTGCAACCCTAAGGAGGGGTTTTGTGTGAAAAGGAGAGAGAAATAAGGGACTCCTAGAAAACGTCCATCCTCTTAACAACGAAAACCAAGTTCCATAAGCCTTGGCGCAGGATTCACAATAGTGTTCGGCTCGAAGGGTTCCCTGACTACTGCTGGGGAATCACCTGCCCTCGGGCTGGACATTCCATCAAACGCAAAGCCATGGTGTAAACAGAGAATGCCGCTAAGAAGGATCCTTTCACATTCTTGCCGCTATTTAGGGCCTCAGTGTCTGAATGAATAACCTTCGGTTTGAAGGCGAGTCAACCCTTCAATACGACGGTGTTCGACGCTCAGTTGATCGGGGCTTGAAGCGGATAGGGAGGAGGCGAAGCAGACCTGTGGTGCACTACATTGAAGGCAGGGTAGCCTAGAGGAGACCGAAGCCAGTGGGGGCAACTTTAGGACCAGCATGCTATTGTAAAGTGAATCTCCGAAACCTCGCTACGAGGGGACGAGACGGGCGAGCGCCTTTATTTTCTCGTCTCACACATAGCATTCACTTTTACCCTAATGATCTGTGCGGATGCTTGTGAAAAGAGAGCAGAATTCTTGCAGATTTAGTACATTCTTCAAGGTTTAGAAAACAGACGCAGGAAAGACCGGCAGTCAAGCACAGGTACGCCATAAATGCCAAGCCAGAACACTTATACGCTAGACGCTGTCTTCATGATGGCGATTCAGATTCAGGCAAAAGACACTTTAAGGTGCTCTATGAGCGCTTCTAGATTGCCTTGTGGGAACTAGCCGCTGTCCTGGCGTGTGCACACTTTCAGCATGGATTTTGCTAGCCACGCTCCGGCTGGCTGCATTATGACGATAATGCTCAGCTTTCGCGTTTTCTAACGAGCCCGGGTAATTCAGCAAGCGAAATAATGCCTGTGCGCAAATATTCATTACATTGTGCATCTCCCCAGTGGTGTGACAGTTGCGCAACCCGGTCAATCATCTTGAGGACCTGGACAGAAGCCAGTGAGCTAGCCAAAACCCATTGAAAAGAGAACCTACAAATACTGAACCTAACACAGGGTCCTTAGGCACAGACTTTCAGTCGTACTCATTGGGCTTGAGGTGTGCCATTATTGTTTGTATCGCATGCATGCTAGCCGAGAAAATGCCTGAAAGGCAGAGGCCGTCCCAGGAGGCCTGCTTCACCGTTCAGCAATGCATTTTTCACTCGCCACCCTACGTTTCCTTACGTGCTGCATCTATGGAGTTATTACAGAGGAAGAAAAGAACTGGCTATGCGCTGGCCCTTTCTGCGATTGAGTTAAAATACATCCTTTTTTGATGAAGCAGATGTGAAGCAGAAACCGAAAAGCAGAGGAACATTGTGTTGGTTTAAAGGTATATAACTCCGCTGGCAATTTGGGATGCCATTCTAGTACAGGCCCGAGGGGCAGCGGAAGCAGGTGCCTCCCCCCTTCTTATCCGCAGCAGTTTTGCATGAGAAGGTTGAATTTTATCCTGAAGCGAGTTCGCCGAGACAATCCGCTTGGAAAAGAATATCTTCGGGGTTACCGTTGATAATCCACCTCCATCCTACATCTTCTGCGGCAAAGGATTTCGCCGGTATTTCAGGGTGCTTGCCTTCCTCTGGCGTACAAGAAAACGGCTGACTGCAAAGCGGACAGGAGCGTATAGGACCCTCAGGTCCCCATGCTACCGTAAAAAGGCCACATACACCGCAGGCCTCCGGGACAGATGGACCACCATACGGCCAAACATTCTCTCGGTCACCGGGTGAACTGGTGGAGGAAGCAGCAGGCACTGGTGATGCTATGTGCCGGCTTTCTCCTCCTTCATTTGCAGAAGTCTGATGCAGAATCCACCTGACGTACCGAACGGGGAGACCCGTTGCTGCACACCAAGGGAATGAAAAGTCACAAGATGGGCAGAAGCACTCCCAGTAGGAGCTGAGCGCACTGCAGTTGGCACAAGGGAGCTGACATGCCCATGCGGCTTCTAGCATTTGCCGTCTTGAGAATACCACAAGGCATGTTGCCTCTAGGCGGTGCTTGCAGCCTGGTGACACTCGGACATCCATCTGCAGCGCGTGCAAAGCTTGCGAACACAGGTCCCACTCCTTTGACTTGTAGGCGGAGATGAACAGGAGCTGTGCACTGACATACAGAGAAATCTCCTGCTGGTAACATTCCCATAGTCTCATTGCCGTGCAAAGAGCTGCACGAGCCCGCTGTTCAGATAGGTGAAAACAGCAGAGAAGGTAAAGATGAGATGCTGCAGCACTCTTCCAATGACGTGCTTCTTCTCGGCTGAGAGAGTTGGCAGGAAAACTGCAAGCCACTCCTGGGAGGGCGTGCATATCACTGGTGGTAGTGCAGGAACAACACAGGCAGGGAGTGCCTGAACGATTCTCGTTTATCAGTCTAACTCTAAAGTGATGCTTTCGAGAAAGCAAAGCAGCCGTGACGTGCATCTTTCGCTGCCTCTGTGGATTCCGCAATGCATGGCCCAGTTGCTTTGGAAGGCTGGCAAGCTCGTGAGCGGCAGCCTCAAATGCGCCTATAGTAAGGAATGCTTCCACGATATCTCCACCGATGCATTTTTTGTGTTGGTGCTGCATCGCATTTCTATAAATGCAAGTTACCGCCTGCAGCTTGGTGCTGTCACAGTGCTGGCGAGCTAGGGAGACAGCCTGTGCCCATTCCCCACTGTACAGGGCAGCATCGACCGCAAGCTCCGGCCTTCCTGCTTTGAGAAAAGCGTCTGCGCTTGTCGCTCCCCTCCCTGCAGCTGCAAGTAACTGAGCTGCGCGCAGCGTCAACTTTGTGCCTACTTCAGGGAGTTTGCTGGCGAGGCACTCTAGTTCTTCGTACCTCCCAGAGAGGAAATAGGCCTCAAGAAGTCCTTCCTGAGGTTTCAACGAAGTATAAAGATCGATCGCCTTTATCCAGCTTCCTTGTTCTTTCCAGGCGTCCGCTAAGGCCACTTTGACCTTTCGCAAGCAATTTTGTTCGCCCCGCCTAGATGAGGAGACAGCCAGTTTCAAGGCGTCTGACGCTACATCCCACAAACCAAAGGAAGCAAATAAGTGGGCTGCGTGCGATAGTTTCTGCTGAGCCTCAAAGAAAGCTCCAGCCCCCAATATGTCTCCAGATAATGCAGCTATAAAAGGTCTACCTTCACCCCTTGGGTTCAGAAGGCGAGCCTGCCTGAGCAGCTGCAGGCTGCAGTAGTCCTCGCACCTGTTCACAGGAAGGAAAAAAAATTGGAAATACCCCTTGTAAAGATACTAGTAGGTATATGGCACGGGACTACACTTGGTGCTTCAATTACTTCAGCCACAAGGGCTGCTGTCCTGTCTGGCTGCAGTAGGCGTAATCACTGCTGCTGTGTTACTTTCACAATGCGCGATTCACGCTTTCAAAGTAAAAGTGTTGCGAAACGAAGTTGCAGCCACCTACCGCACAAGAGCCTCCTCGGTGATTCCCAGCTCTTCCGACGCCAATGCAGCCTCCGCAAGTAGTCTCCACAGAATGGGGTGGTTAAATCTGGCTGCAAACGCGGCAGCCTGCTGCAGACCCGCAGGCCCTTCTGAATCCTCTGAATGTTTTCGACGGCTGCCAAGCAAATTGCGCATCTGAACAAGTGGTTCTGCATCAAAATGCTTCAGAATTTCCTGTTTAGGCCCATCAATCCTTTGCTGCATCAGTGCGGGGAAGCAAAGGGCTCTTGCACGGAGGTTACAAAACTCAATCAGGTACAAGGGTCCAAGGGGAGGTCCCTTAGATGCGTTAGCACCCACGAAGAATGAGGGAGTCCTGTTTTGACACCCTGCGTAGACAAGTACTAACCCCGTCTGCCGCAGTACTGCAATCAAGTCATCGTGATCTGACGCCCACACGTAATCCAGGACACCCTCCACGGCGTCGCAGAGCTTTGCACCAAAACATGATGAATGGCCTGAGACAACCCTCAAATGATGCGTGGTGAGCCTTCTAGCACAAGATACTCCCGCGGCGAACTCCACGCGACCCCACCCCATGATGTGTACCCCAATAAAGACCATATAAGGCGGGAGTTGTTAGAGGTTATTGCGCTGTAGCTTGCCTATCTGCTGGCGGGGAGCGGCCACTGCGACGACGTGGAGCCATCCCTGCACGTCCATCCCTGCCAGGGCCGTGGCTTGTCTGTTGAGCTTCACACTGCAAAACTCAGTTGGTACAATGCCTGAGGCTTCGAGCTGAATTTGGGGAGTAGTTAGTAGGAGCCTCAGCCGCAGCAACTGACCCGTCGTCCGTGCTACAATTAGGCATTTGCCATGTCCATCTAAAGCGCATGTATTTCCGTTGCAGGTGTCTCTTGAAGTTGACTCGCAAAAACAGCTTAGGTCTATCAGTGCAGACATCGGAACAGCTGTACTTTTTTTTTCACGGGATAGATGATGGAACCAAAGATGGTGGGAGTTATCTGCTATCACCAGCAAATGAGGTAGCAGAATGGCGTGTGCCGGACCAAGAGGAGACATGACTGTCTCCACAGTGTTGCCTGAAGTATCGCACAGTTCGACAGGGAAACCTTCCTGCTCCATTTCTTGCTGTCTCTTTACGGCATTTGGTGACTCGTGGGAGCTGTTCTCGTCAGGGAGGCGGTGGGGGCCTTCCTGGCACTGTGACTGTAGCAAGAAGCCAAAACGGTCACTTCGCCATGAAAAAGAAGGTAGCACGGCAGATGTGGCTTGTGGCACAACGGCACAGAGAGATTCTCCACACGCGAGAAAACGGGGCCCCCGGAAACGTCTGACAGTACGGTAGCCGCCAGTATCACTCAGAAAAGAAACTTCTGTTGCCAGCTGCTTGCGGGACAAAGGAGCTGCTGCTGCCACGGCGTCTTCCCCGTAGGAGCAACATACAGCATGATAGCGGAAGGATAATATGAAAACCCCCGTGTTCGTTGCTGCAGCAAGCCGTTCACCACCGGTGGCCCAGGCCAGAGCCCGGGGTTCCTCGCTGGCCAAGTTAATGGTAGCTATTAACTTACCACAAGCCTGTACCAGCACCACGAGAGCCCCAGCATCGGGATTCTGCCCTTGTGCCCCTGTTAGCACTCCCTCATGCTTCCCCGGGAAATGCGCAGCGGCAGATGACGCGGCAAACGCAGGGAGGCCCAGCAATGCCGCGACCATCCCTGAAGTGTTCCACGCGGCAGCTACGCATGAAGAAAGGCCAGTTTTAAATGAAAGCGGCTGGCAGTCCCCATCTGGATGCAAGAGCATACCGCTGCCAGTTGCGTACGCAGCTAAAATTGGTCGAACAGCCCAAGACCCTGGCTGCCAGGCTAGAACTGAGCATAAAAGCACGAGGGGAAATTTTTCATTGTTTTGAGACAGAAGGAAATTTAACCTACTACGTACGAGATGATACGAAAGCCCAAGGAAGAGGCGGTTTACCGGTGATGCCGTCTTGCCCATAAGGCTCAACCTTCGAACTCAACTTCCGTAGGTAGATACCCCGAGAGTCATAGAAGGCCACTTCCCCATCGTGCGACGCTAGGACGAAACCACTCCCATTGGGAGAAACACAGAAGCAAGAACACGACTTCTTCACATCACGCGCCCACACCCGCTGACCTTCAAGGGTCACACAAAGCAGGTGACCATCATCGTGTAGTAGACAAAGAAGCACCTCTGAAAGAAAAGCCTTGCACGGGACCCACTGGAGACCCGCTAATGCTCCGGAAACCCCAAAGTTAAACGAAGAGAGCTGCTGCCATTGTCCTTCCGCCTCTTCCCAAATCATGATGTTTCCGGCCGAGTCCCCAGTTGCTAGTAAGCGACAAACGACATCTGCAGACACGCAGCGCACGGGACCCTGAAGCAAAGTACACATGGCAGAAAGACAACGGCATCTGTCCGTATGGCCATATGTCCTTGATGCGGGTGGTGGAGATTGTGTTCCCTAGGGCAGGGTCGAGAACTCACCGGGTGTCCACTACGGCCCGGGGTGTGCCATGCTTCACCATCTTCACTTTGGATGGATTCGGTGTTTGCAGTGGTTGCTAGACCTGGAAGAGGGGACACTGGCGATATTTTTAGGGTCTTCAGACTTCCAGAGTCTGTCCCAACAAGAAGCCATTCACCCTGCCAAGCAGCACTGCGTGCTGAGCTGCACGACAGTGCTCCTTCAAGAAGGCAGTGAACTGACATCCTACTGGGAGCCGAACGGGTTCCGGATCTTCACTGAAGGATAGCTAATGGTGCGGCACTAGGACGAAAGCAAGGAGACGCCTCGCGCAATCAAGCCACTTCAGTCCTCTCCTGGTACCAACGTGGGCAAGTGGAGACGAAAAAGATGCAATTCAAAAAATGGGTTTGGGGGGAAATCTTCATTCATTTCTCTGTGCACCTGCGAGTGATGAAGTCGAGCTGCCACTCGGGTGGCTATGGTTCCGCCATCAAACGCGAGCAAGTCAGCCTCATCTTCGCAAACCGATGAGAGCCGGTTTGAAATGTTTCTGTATTATGAGCAGCCACCCACTCAAGCCCTCCCAGTTACATAATTGAAGCGCCTTAACAACCGTTAGAGAAGAGGGCGAGGCGGCTGATCCTCTGAATGAATTCAGGTCTCATTTTGCCGCGGCGTCGGCAGCCCTCGCATGCGCTGCAGAGGGGCAGCATATTACTAGCAAGTCCAGAGATGGTTTGTACAGGGTCAATAGTGTGCTATTTATCGATATTTTGAGTGCCCTGGGCTCCAAGTCCTGCGGGACTTACAGCCTAAGAGCAGTGCCTCATTGGTCTGTTCGGAGCATTCTGCCACTCCCTCTTACCCTGGAAATTTCGAATCACGGGCAGCAAAAATTTTGAGAAGATGGAAGGGGCTAGTCTTCGTGGAGTGTTTGATTACTTAGGGGAGGGAAGCTTCAAAACACGATCCCAGACACGCCCCGGAGTGACCCTCCTGCAGAGCGAGCTGGATCACATAAAAGCGATTGCTTCGGGAATGCTATCAGACGTGGACCTTCAAAGGCAAATAGAGCTGCAGCGCATGGCGGAAAAACAGAAGGAAGCAGCAGAAAGGGTTTCAGGGTGGCAGAACCTGCTTTGCAACGCAAGGCAACGCAGGCTTCTCGAGCGACAACTACAGCGGCGGCGAAAGGAGGACGAACTTCTGATGCAAGACCAAGAAGAAGAAATGTGTCGTAAGCAACTGGAAAAAGATTTAATCGAGAGGGCTGGTGCGGTGGCCGTGGAAAGGGATGAAAAGATAAGGACCTTCATTCGCGCACAGATGGTGGCAGACACCCTAGCCGGGCAGCGGGAGCAGCTCAGGTGGGCGGAGCGAAAGGCCTCCATGGAGCAGGAGCGCCAACTTGACTTATTAAGGGAGGAGCAATCTATGAATAGGCGGTTGGTCGAGAAAGAGCAGCGTGACAAGCAAGAACAGCAAGAGAAAATCATGCAGGCGCAAGCCTTTCTAAGACAACAGATCAACGAGAGAGCGCAGCGCAGAAAGCAGGAAAGTGACGAGCTAGCTGCTGAAGCTGAAGCAGCAAAAAGACAATTAGACGAGGAGCAACAAGCAGAACATGAAGCAGAGAAGGCAAAGCAAGCGGAGGTCCTTCCCACGCTCGAATGAAGGTTTCCTCTTTCATGCCTTTCAAACTGGCAGGGGATAGCCAACGCACTTCAACCATTTCGCACTGATCAGCATGCGACGTGCACTTCGCTTTAGCCGTGTTGACCTAACTAGTGCAGCGCAGAAGCTTTTTAGTGGCGCTGTTTGTCTTGCGTATCTGACGGTGGCATTACTGCAGTCTAGGCGGCTCTATAGAGAACTGGTCACGGCGAATGAAGAACTTCAAGAACGGAGAAAGGCAGCACAGGCCCAGCAGAAAACTGAAGAATCCCGAGCCTTCGCCTGCGCTGAAAAGCTCCAGCAGAGAGAGGCAATGATACGGAAGAGAAAAGAAGAGCTCAGGGCTTGGGCCTTGGACAGAAGTGAACGGCTTACAGCTCAAGGAGCGGCGGTGCTTGCAGCTGCTCGGGTAAAGGCTTCACCTTTCCTCTACACTCCTTGCTCCCTTGAACACGAACTGCTCAAGCGAGCATTTCTTTGTGGTGTAGTTCCGTTTTCTCACGTCATTGTTTGCAGAACTTCAGCTTCTGATGTATCTCCTCCTTGCTGCCCCTTTCTTCAGGCAGAGGAAGCAAGACACCAAGAAATTCAGGTTGCACGCTTTGAAGCAGATGTGAAGCAAGCAGAAGAAGCGAAGCAGCTTAGCAGACTGGCCATGCAACTGCAGCTGAAGGAGAGCAGAGACAACCAGGTTGAAGCAAAGCGAAGGGAAAAGGAGACGAAGAGGATGGAAGACATAGCATATGCTGAATCCCTTCGCAAGGCAGCAGTTGCAGCACAAGCCGACGAAGACAGGAAGATTCAGGAGCGGCGCATCAAACTTTGGAAAGTGGGGGAGGACCAGAAGCGTCAGGCAAGGGAACAGCAAGAGTCGAAAAAGCTGCAGAGGGAGCGAGCTCTTGAGGAAGAGAGGAAGGCACACGATAACCTACGTGAAGCAGATCTTATGCTGCAGCGTTTCGCTGATCAGGGCATTGCAGCAGCAAAGGCAGTTGGAGCAGAGTGGCGCATACTTGAAAAGGCAAAGAAGAGGCTGCTTCGCGAAAGCAGTTTAGATAGCCCTCCTAGAAGTAAAAATGCTGATAGCGGCACAGCGACACCCCCATCGCCTATGCTCTGCATGGAACAGTGCTCCATGTACCCAGGTTGTGGAGCCTCCGTTTGATCAAACTACGCGGTTAACAGGGAAGAGGTTCACATTCGAAGAGGAGCCGGTGTAAGGGAATTTGGCGGTCCCCCCTACTCTGAGGCGGTCTCACCCTTGGTGGCCCTTTAAAAAAAAAGAGGTCTCTAGTTATCGCTCACTCTCGCCTTCAAATCTGCCCCCAAAATCCACGTGACCATGTGGAATTTTCTACCAATCGATTCGCCTGACCGGATTTGCTGGAGCTATGCTATTTCTAAAGTGAATATCCCCTTTTTTCTTCCACTGTACTATTTGACACTGGATTTTAACTGGGTCTCATCTCTGAACCAGCGTGAAATGATAATGAAACTGTCCTTCATGCGCTTTCATATGCGGTTGTCCAGGGTTTAACTCCATGCAGAAAATAATCAGTACAAGGCTTTATTCTTCATATTTAGCATATTAAACCCCTTCCAGCCCTGTCAGTGATGCTAGCCGAGCTCAAAGTTGCCGCCCATTTAGCCAAGGCTTGGTTGGGGGAAGCACGACAACATACACTGGGACAGATGCACTTTGAGGCTGTTGTCTCTGTTAAGACTGCATTAGAACCCATGATAGCCACACTCCATGCAGCATAAACTGGCTGAGTATGCACCAGAATACCTCATGGGGCTGTAGTGGATCGCATTCTCAAGCTTTCATTGCGAAAGTGTCGCCGGACAATATACTTTGCCCATTGGCTTGCACTTGTCGTGATTGCTCGTGGATAGCTTGATTCAAGCTCCGTGGTATCGGAATTGTAGGGGACTAATGGCTAGAGGTCTTTAAAGATAGCACAGCCAGAAGCAAATGCACAATCAGAACAGCGCCCACAGCTCCATGCTGTCAACCTGGTGAGAACATTCAACCCACGCGGGGTGGGTACTTGTCAGTTCAGAGTTGCAAAGTGCAGTGCAAAAAAGTAAAAACACCTGTAACTACAAGTGATGGCACTGCGCCTTTGATGGGCTGGTCGAAGCGATTCCCCCGGGTCATGGGTTGCAGTCTCTTAACTGTGGGGGCACTTCAGAAATAGCCGGAGTCGCTTAGCCATGTAAGTACACAGAAAACTAAGACCAACAAGTACAGTCACGAGTAGGAGGCAAAAGAGCTGGCTTCCGTTAACGGTGGCAGAGGCGAACACGGCCATGGATGATGAATCCGGCGTCTTCTAGCAGTACACCGTGGGTGGGATCCCAGGCAGCAGGCCAGATGATACATTAAAAAGGTTGAAATAGAGGTGATCGGAACAGTCTTTACTCGTGAAAGATGTTCCGAGTCAGGTGCCGATAAGGCACAGGCACACCGGGCCTGTCTCACAGCGCCGGAATTCGCTTTGCGAAAATTCCAACTGCACATTATCTCGAGAGCTCCCGGGTCACTTTATTTACATGCTTTTGCTTTTGTGTATGTGATAACCGTCATGCATACAGATATCCTGGGGTTAGCACCTAAAATTGGGGCCGGTACATTTATAGTGTACCCTCAGCAGCAGTTCGCTCACTCAGCGTGGGCCAACTGGGTCACCGGGGAACTTCACCTGGCCAATGATCTTCCCCATTTCCTACTTGCCGAACAGATACAGCTAAACTAGAGCCATGGAAAGTCGGCAAATGAACCTGGAAAATACTTTTAAGTTGCATCAACGCCGCAGTTTGTGGCCTGCCGGAGAAGGAGACACTGACGGGTACGGGCCAACTGAATGACCCCACTGGTCGGCGAAAGTCATCAAATATGTCGCAGTAAAACTGGCTGCGTAGGATAAATAAACCCTCAAAACTCTCAATTGAACCGTTTTTGATGCATGAGAGGTTCAGAGTTCTGCAAACACTCCCGCCGAAACCTTTCCCTGTTGTCGCGTACCATAGCAATGATGACGCCACAGGTGCTACCTCAAACCTTGCACACGCAGCAGCAACAACAACAGCAGCTACTACAGCAGCTGCGCAGGGACCTTTATAGGCTTAGTGACAGCAACAGGGTGACTCGCCTTCAAGGAGCGAGGGCCATCCTACGCGTGTACGAGGAGGAAGCTGCTAGGAGAGCGGCACGGAGTAACGAAGCTGCGATGACTACCAACAGTTATCAAGGCACCAAAGAGGCCCATAACTGTCCAAGCTGTCCCTTTTCAGGAGTGTTCTTGAGCAGTGTTTACTCTCCAGTCTCTGTTTTGTGTGCCGATGACACATCGGAGTCTTGCCGGGCAACTGCGCTAGACCTCGTCCAGTTAGTAGTAAAGAATTTCCTCTCCAGACGGGAGGTAATACTCATTTGCATGGGCAACAAAAATGCCAGCGACAAGGCTTTCTCCTGCGGGGGAGAATGCAACAACTGCCCCGCAGCTGCAGCTTTCTTCTGCGGCCGCAACGCCGGCGGTGACGGTACTTACTTAAGTATCAACACCGGCATTGCTGGCAACTCAGAAGCGGTAAAGCCCCTGATCACAGTCATTGCAGAAAGACTTAAGGAAACATCGCAGGAAGTGGAGAAAAGCGAGGAGCTCCGACTCAGTAACATGCAATTCCTGCAGCATCTGCTATTACAGTACGCTGCAGACCCGCCTGCGTCGAACTCCAACAGAGGCCAGCACAACCAGCAAAAGCAGTCGATGTTTCAAAGCGAAAAGGGCTGGAATGCAACAGAATTTGCAGACTGTTTGTTGGCTGCGGTTGCTGGCGCACTCAAAGACAAGAGCCCGTCCAATGGCATTGAGGCATGCCGTCTTCTCTCTGCAATTTCAGAAAAACTGCAAGCATCCGTGCTGCTTCAAGTACGTAGCTGAGCTTTTCCAAGTGAAGCCCCTGTTTTGTTGCTTCTTGAGAAGCCTCTGCCCAGTGTAAACCCGCGCGCAGATCTGGGCCATGGACCTCATGCCCACATTCTTATATGCTGGCTGCTCTTCAGAGCTCCAAACAGCTACTGCATCTTCTAGTTGGTTGCCTTGCTAGACCCCAGCGAGCAGTCAGATGGGTAAGCACCAGATCTAGCAAGTCGTTCGAAAGTTTAATGTACATGACTCCGACAATTTTGTAGGCGAAAAAATCTTTATATTGCTCTATGGCAACTAGATATGCAGGCAAGAGTAAAGTTACCCAGCTAAGGAACGAAAGGAAATACATAGAGGGCAGGCCGAAGAATATTCATGCGCGACCCACGAGCTGTCAGTTGTTGTTCGTGGTTTGCAGCAAGCGGCCGCAGCCTGTGAAGCCATGCTACGGTCGATTTCTTCCCGTGCAGCAGTTGCTGAAGACGGTGTTTCTGCTGCTGCAAGCCACATACGGGCTGTAGCTACAGCAATTAGACCCATACTACAGCAGGAAGCTGCTGTTCTGAACAAGTAGGTTTGTTCAAACTTATTTACGAGAAGAATAGCCACTGGTTACTGAGGGATGGTGAGAATATTCACCATCTTCTGTCATTGTTGCCCTTGATATCGCAGACTGAAAATGATCCAGATGTTGAAACGGTTGGTACAAGAAATGTCTCCGCGGGTCTTGCTGCGACAGAAAGTGCTCCCGCACCTGCTGCAACTCTTCCTGCTCTTGATGGGCGACATCGACCAGCAAGTGGCCCGTGAGGCAGACAAAGCACTGCTTGTAAGGAAGGAAGTTTTGTAAAACAGTTTTCAGTCCCACGTCTATTAAATACCGGGATGAGGATGCATGTTGCAAAATCATATGCGGAAGGTGGGATCTGTCCACGCGCTGCAGAGCCTTGCCCCCCGTTGCGTGTTCTTGTCCCGGAGAAGGCAACAAAGGCGAGAGTGGAGGAGGGAACAGGCGAGTTCGCAACCACTAAGCAGTGAAGAAGAGGACCTTACAATCGGCGATACAAGCAGCAGTGAAGACGTTTTAGAGGTGCGCGAGTGACTTAGCAGGATGCGCAGCTATGAGCTAAAAGCGGATACATCACGGAATCACTCGCGGTGGATGAAGGAGCTGCTCCAGAACGACGAAGCATGCTGCCGATACTTTCACTGTACTAGATTTAAATGGCATTTGCTATTGGCATAGGCAATTGAAGGCGATGGGCCACATAGAACGCCACCTACTCCGCCAGCTGCTTGCGAAGGCGACGCGGAGGGGCTCTACGAAGCAGCCAGCTATCATAGGGAGCAGGCGACGGAATTGGCAGGGGTACACTTGAAAGAGTTGATGGCTGACGTAAGGAAACTCGTTGCATTCCTTAGTGTCTTCGGGAATGCGCAAGGCTAGTTCTTCCCACTGCAACTTGGGACGGGTGGTAGCCCCTGTGCAATGATGGGGAACAGGTATGAATGGTCGTGTTCTCCGGTTACTTTTGCAGCTGTTGCCTCGGCTTACAAGTTGGTCTGCCGATGAGCGGCTTGCATCCCTGAGGGCGCTTGCTGCGCTAATGCCAATTAGCGGGTTTCGCCTGCTAAACGAGCTACCGCATCTCCTGTTGCAGCTCTACGAAACTTGTGTTATCGAAGGAGGAGGGCCCCCTGGGAGCAGGCAAGATGATCAGCAACAGTGGTCCCCTCTGCTGTTTCTTGTCCAACACGGCATACTAAGGGAAATAAACAGCAGAAGGAACCCGGGCAGTGACTGCAGCAGCAGCGACTCCCGCGAGCCGTGGCATCGCGGGGGCTTGCAAGAAATGGGGGCTTGCAGTTCACTGTGCAACACCCTCGAAGCGGTCGAGCTTGCATTACACTGCACGGGAGAGGTGGCGCTGCTGCTACCTCCTTGCTCCTGGCTTCCTTTGATCGCCTCCCACCTAGGTTTGCAAAGGGACGCTCATCAGTACATTCGGGACAAGGAGAAAGTACTGGCTAATGCTGTTGACGATGAGACGGAGCAAAAAATTTCCATGTGGTCAGATCTTGCTTCGCACGAGGAAAAAGTGTTCTTGGGTAGGTTTCCCGGAGGTTATCAGTTTGTGGTGAACGCACTTGGGCTGAATTCACCCAGATGCGTCCGGGATCAGCGAAGGGCAGACTATAAAGCTAACGCTGGAAAAGCCATTTCTGCAACAACACATATGTGTTCCTCCGAATCACGGAAACAGGCGCTACTGCTGTTATCTCGCCTACTGAGAGGGCTTAAGCCATATAACGAACATGGACGAAAACGGCAGGGTCAGAAACCACACGAGAATAAGGGGGATGCGAAGATTTACCATAGCGGGGCCTACGTTCTAGGCAGAATAGAGCTTTGGCTGCTAGTGCGCATAATAGAACAAGTTCAAGGCACCGAGTGTGGCAGGGATAACGACGAAATTATGCCCTTTACAGCTGTTCTCCTTTTACAGCTGCTGCATGCGGCTGGGGAGCTCTGCCAGTTGGAGGCTAAGAGCCTCTTTGCAGCAGCATTGCTGCAGCAAATCGACCCTCGAAGCCATAAAGATATTACCAGAGAGGCAGTAGGGCACATCGATACATTCAGCATGAACACGCTACTTTGGGCTCATCAGCAACTCTCGTTTTTCAAACGGTTCTGTTCTGGGGATGTCTGTGATAAATTGCACAGAATTCATCCCGGCGACTGTTGTATTCTCGTTGTTGGCATGCACGCTGGTCCTGTTGTGGCTGGCACGGTTTCTGTGACAGGTGACAAGTGTTTGCGAGTACACTGGTGAACAACCACTCAAGCTATATCTAGCGTTTCTTGACGACCTTGTTGCAAGCGAGCTGCATGGTGATTTCGGAAGGGCATGCTCTAGCCCACAGTTCCAAAGAGCCAAAACAAACGAAAAATTGCACATACTGTGGAGTGCCAATGATCCGCGGAGGCTGTTGCTCCTCCGAGCTCTCCATGGCGCACAGGAAGCTGCAGATGCCGAGGAGTCCCCACAAGCACCAAACTGTCTGAGGATGTGGGAACTTGTAAAGGTAAGGCTATGCAGTTATCCACAGGAGTGCGGAAAGGTCGTATTTTGATTTAGAAGCATTTTAAGCATTGAGAGTCTCCCACGTGGGAAAAATCGTTGTGAGTGGGGTGCATCTGAATCATTAGGAATATCTTCCTTGTCTCGCTGGCGTTGCAGCTGCTGCAGAGACAGGGAACCGCACAAGAAGCTGTAGCGCCAGTGCGGGGTGACATTCTTGGAGCCTGTCTGGCTCTTTTTTCCCTTACGTTTTTCAAACCACTTGCACGGTACGTCTGCGGGTAAGGCTGGTTAGCTGGTGTACCTCAGGTGTCTTGATTCAAAACGTAAACTCAGGTATGGCGGTGCGAAACATGTATACCATCAGGCCTTATGGGGGCTGGTTGCTAGAGCACTTACTTGTACCAAATCTCGGTTGGCGACCAGGAGAAGCGAATGCAAAGCTCCGCAAGGTACGCAAAACATACAACATGATGCGCCCAGCCAAGCGCAGACTCCACAGCGACCACCAACAGATCGCTCACCAGGTCATTCGAAGGCTGTGAGATTCCTCAGGTCGCCCTTCTATGCGTTTCGCAAATAATTCCCACATTGTCAACGAACGGCACTCCAGTTATTTCCAGACCACAGGAAGGGACTGAAGAAGATTGTGACGCATTTCAGCTCATGCCGGAAAAAGAAAAACGAGAGCAGCTTGAAACAGATTCAAAAGAGGCAAATGAAAACAAAGTGGAGGCTAGATCAGTCATAGCGGCACTGTCAATGCTTACTCCGTTGTTGGTATCTTGTATGGATGATGACTGGAATGCGGACGTGCGTTTTTTAGCAGTTGGAGTTGTGCGCCAGTTTTTCTTTGACCTCAACGTGAGCCCGTGGTATCTTGTCGATGGAAAAACACCACTGAATGCGTTTAGCTAAACTTGCCCTTCAGTACTTACTACAAGCTGTCATTCTTGACGTGCGAGGAAGAACTCTCATTTGTGTACTGACTGCTCTGCAGCATGTTGCACTGCATCGCAATACGCCAATGCCTCGCCACCCTTTTTGCGACCTGCGCAGGGGGACGAGGAACAGCATGTAGCACTTCAACAGCTTGCTGCAGCAACAGCAAGCCCTCTCCAGCAAAGGCTCGATGACGCTCGGGACGACATACGCGTTGCTGCTGCAGACGCTCTACAGGCGATGCTGAAGCAGCGTCCGCCGGTAATTCACCGTCCTGCTGCCACTGAAATATGCAAGAGTTTGTGCATCTGCTTAGACGACCGCAGCGAAGTCCTGGCCACAGCAGCAGAAGCTGCTCTTCTGGCTGGTGCTGAAGATCTGAAAGCTGTAGTACTTGAGGTACGCAGTACGGGTGCTAGTCATATTCACAGCAGTGTGCTTGCCCGCGGCGCACATCTTTGGAAAGATGCCTAAACTGCATGAGGTATTATTCTGCTTGAGCTACAGTGCATCAAGAGACAATGAGGCTGGCGTACTTGCTCTTGTGCAGGAACTTCAAGCAACGGAGCCAAGCTGCCTTTACCCTGAAAGGTACAGGCGGATTCGTCGGAAGCTGCTGGAGCTTCCGGAACTTTAGCCTGCTCTAACTGAGTCTTAGTCTGAGAGTAATACAAATTTAGGACCCACCGCGCGCTCAATCAGACAGCAGGCCAATGCGAGAGGAGCAATTGATACTTCAGATAGCTGCCATCCTCACCACTTGGCTCTCCTTCACAGTCACTCCCAGTAATTATAATTTTACTAAACACGACGGCATTGACCTTCGGTCTCAACAGGAAAAAGCGCGTCACACGCCAGCGGATCTGTGCTTGTTTATCCAAAAGTACCGGGAAACGCTGCTGGAGAGAAAATGGCCCTACTGAGCTGAGCACAGATTTGCCTGCCCGTTTTTGAAAGTTGCTAGACAATTCGGCTCAAATTAACAAGCGTGTACAGCCTTAGCGTGCGACAAGCCATCATCGACTTCTGCAACCCGATGTCACAATGAGAATGCGATGCCGCATTCTCATTGTGGAGATTCATGCATGAGGAATCCACATGGAACAATTTAGCTAGATAGGATATGCTCTACAGTGTAAAATAAACTAGATCCGGCCTGAAGTGTGGAACTTGAGGAAGGTTCCGTAAATGAAGATAATTATTGGTTTTCTTCACCGCATTCTAGCGGGAGTTAAACAAGACGGTGGCCACTTAAGCAGGCGCTGCTCCGTTTCAAATTTCACGTATATATCCTACTAACGTAAGTAACCAATGATGGAAGTGGAGCCTGAGACAAACCCCCTGCTTCTCAGCTGCAAAGTAAGAGCAGCACCAAATACATCCCCGCCACTGCAGAGGATGCACCTTGCTAAGCCTAAGTTTGACGTGTTTTCCTGTTCATGAGCCATACACGGAAGCTGAGGAATAGCCGCATTGGGGGAACCCAAAACAAAATATTCACCCTTAAGAAACTTGCACTGCTGCAGATGAGATCGAACATTTCTATCCCCCTCCCCCAGGAGATGTGAGCGTATGGGTGACTCATTGTTTCCTAGATTGGCGCACTTTACTTCAAGCGAGAGAACGAAGGTTCATGGCTGCCTCTGTTTGCCTTAGTTACGGACCGCGCTGAACCTTAGAGGCGGTGCAGCGTTCCGGGACTATATGCATGAGAATTAGTAGTTTCCCATGCACCGTGCCAGTCGAGCTTCCTCGCTCTCGAAAACCGTAGCGTGGTGGAGGAATTGTACAGGGCCAACACTCAGGCTGTCCTGGGGGGCATGCCCACGTTTCCAGCTGGCGCGACAGACCTGGTGCTAGTCGCTTGTATGTTGAGGGACTCCAGAGCCCAATTTTTGCTAACTCTCGAAGTGGCTCCCTGCTCTTCTGGTCCGTCTGTTTTTGAAACGCCTCACCAACCTGCATTCGTAGTAGGGTCTGGACTCGCCCAGTCACCTTTCAGTTTGTACACTGCGCACGTATACCTTCACGCACCAGATAGTAGCGATAACATTCCGTCCGACAGGGCGACAATACACTTGCCACTAATTGGGATCTAGGCCCCCTGGCATGCCAGGCGTAGGCTCCATTTGAAGGATGCGACGTGCGAAAAAGTCCCCCGTTATACTGCCTCGGGAGCAAAGCAGGGAGAGAGAAGGAGACCCTGTTAGCACCTGAGAAGGTAAATGCGCATGAAAGGAACATGTGAACCTGAAGTTTGTGCGTACAACCAAGTCAAAAGCAAACGTAAGGAGGCGCGTGCCACAAGGCAAGTTAAACTTAGCAGATATAATCTTTTCGAGAAGAAAAGCATGTGGCGAGATAATGGAGGTTGCTGGCTCGGCGTTGAGGCGTACTTCAAGGCAGTAGCTCAATTCAGCCTCTGTCATAGCCTCGCCTGTCTGCAGGAGGGCACATGCAGTGTGTCAGCAAAATGAAAATTCTATAGTATGGATTGAGTGCTAGCCGAAAGGCAGGCAGTTACACGGAAAGCTGCTCATTGTCTCACAGTTGTGAGCAACTTTGTCAAGGTCTCCGGCGGTACCTCGCCCCCTTCCTTGCCTTTACTCAATTGTTTCAGTGCATCAACCACGTCAGAGTATTGAAGTGGCTGCGAAACTCGTTGGTTCAGGTACAGCTCGAGGAAACGTTCAAACGCGATGCTTTCAGGCTTCGCAGGCGTCTCCGCTCCCACTGTTGACTCCGCGGCTGTGCCTTGCCGGTGCATGATGCCATGAGTGCCGCGGCACTCGCTTAAAATATTACTTAGCTCCAACTGTGTTGGCGCCTCACCCATCGCGCACAGAAGGTTTGGGAGCTCTCTGATGGGTACAGTGCCTCCAAGTCGCCTGCTGCGAGTCGTCCGTTCCCCTTGACTACGCAACTGAGAATAGTAGAAGAATTCTTTTGCTGTGCGGTAGAATTTGCCCTGCCAGAGACATCAACACGAGCCCGCTTTGCGTTGCTGCCCAGATGCAACAGTTTGCAGTTTACACGTGACTGTATACATTAAGAAAGGAATGGGCACAAGGATTCTATTTTGCGGAATTCAGCAAGGGAACGCCGTACGAGACTTCCGCCAGGAATGCGGTACAGAATCGACGCCACTCCGGATGGGCCTGCAGAGAAATGAAATACACTAGGAAAATAGGGGCAGCTTTAATAATGAATGCGGTTGCGTGGCTTCACAGAAGGCTGGCCCCTTCAATTTAGTTACCTTTCTGGAACTCGCTCTGTACCACCCTGTGGTTCACCTTCCACTGGAGAACCGTGAAGTCGCTGCCCCCGCATGAAAAAACCATAGTATGTCCATGGTGGGGAGCTGATGCGGCTAAGGCAACGATTTGTCCAGCATGCGCAACTACGCTTACACTCTTGAATGGATCGCTGCGAGAACGGGAGAAGCACTAGATGACTGCTTACTGTTGCAGGCGCCTCAAACATGCTGCAAAACCCAATGCTTGTGAGAGAAGTACAATGTCACTTTAGCGGCTGTTATGGACAGCAGCGCCGCAAATTAGCACTAATCTCAAAACTAACCCTTGAAGTGGAAGCTGGTAGAGGCCTAGGACTTGCTCCTTACAAGCACCGAGAAGCACCGGACTGAAAACCAAATCAATCGTCTGTTATGCAACTGTAGCTTTTTGTTGCGGAATGGTAATGCCTGTGAGCTACGCACTTCAAGAATGAAACAAAATATCCTCTTGCGGCATATGGTATTCACACACAGGTGCAGCCGACCCCCTTACCTGAATTTCTTTCCTTCGTTTGCAGTTTGGGTCCAATCCTGCACCAGAGCCAGCTGCAGTACGCCACCGCCACCTTTCCCCATTGCAACGGAGGCAGTCTAAGATCATTTAAACGCAGTCGAAAGCCATAACCCCTTTGGAAGACTCAGCTTGAGGCGTCCATCAATCAGGTATATTGATGCCTGGCTTTGGCGGTTTGCTTTTACTTTGATAAACACTTTCGGCGCATTTGCAGCTGATGCCCACCTTTATGCAAGTCATCGAGTTCGCGCTCCATACTGTTGCTTTTGCTTCTGTTGAATAAATGAGGACTTCAGTGTCCGGCTCACCCACCTGGAAACAACGAAACAACCCACACTCCACCCACGCAGGTAGCAGTGGACTTGCTAGACAATATCACGCGCAATTTTCGCACAACGTAAATGTGTGCGAAAGGATGCCGGCTATTGTTTCTTCTGGGATTGCGTGTTTCAAAAGAATTCTACGCTGATTAACGCAGCTCACGGGAGACGGCAGCGCTAAACAGCCGGCAGGTAAGGCGCGTTGTTCTATTATGCGAGACGCCCGCTTCAGAAGACCTAGTGACATGCGGCAAAGGCCTGTCTTCCCTTTGAGCAGGCACAAGATATATTTGCCGGTAGGGAGAAGGAGGGGCCACGTACTACAGTGAGATTGCCGAGGGAATCCATTTGCTACCGTTTTTGGCCTAAGCGAAGTGGAGGTTTCCACTGACAAAGCTGCGTGCTTCTTACCATTCTACTTACCCGTGTGCTCAAAAGAATTGGTAACATCATACTCGACGAGAGTTCGGTCTTCACCTACGCTGAAGAGGCGCGGATATCCCTTGCTGTATAGGTGAGGTGACGCTATTGGGAGAGGCTGTTGAGCCGGGCGCGATGCAAAAGACTGCGCCGGGCCAACGACAGTTGCTGCAGTTGGGCCACTGGCAACTGTTGGCAAGCTCTGCAAGGGAGGCTGACAGTGGGAATAGGCGAAAGAAAGGCCGGAGACTCTTCGATAGTGTGAACGATGCTTTCCTGCAAAAGAAAGCGCTTAATAAGAAGCGTGCGCACCTTTCACGCGGCTGTTCGTCAGTAAATACGCCAACTTTCCAGGCGCTGCATTCCAGCCCAGCAGCAATGTGATAAGGTTGAGAAGTGCTGCGACTGGGCAAGGCTTAAAATTGGTCACTTAAAAGGCTTTGCCTGAAGGGAAACTCCCTCAGATAGTGCTTATAGAGCTTCTACTTGGATCGTGCACGCATTTACCTGCAAATGCCCATTCCTTAGGAAGTTGGGGATTGCCCAAACGACAGTCGAAACTACAGACACAACACCTTCGAAATAGTAGCAACGATAGAGAAACACTTTCCAGCTCAGCGCCTAAAATATGGTGCCTAGGATACACTGTCTAAGGTGCTGTCTTGGTTCACCGGAAGAGGCAAACGAGATGGTCCGCATGAGCGACGGCAAGGTGGGCGGAACTCTTGCAAAATGTGCACTGTAGCACACCAGAACAAAAGGATGTAAACTCCCCTAGCGATGGCAGTGTGGTCTTCATCGCAGAGTTCCCCTTCAGCGTTAAAATTGTGAGCCAGGAGATCACTAACATGGGTGACTGCATCGCGGCTTTCCCTTGTGCTGATTAGCTCAGCCATCCATTGGGATAAATCGCCGCCATGCGTCGCTGCTGAAGTCACATTCTCTGGAATTGTGAATCCGCATATTTTCACTGTCCCGTTGCTGAAGCCGATGGCTAAAAACACTCCGGATGGGCTGAATGCTGCAGCCTGCGGTTTCATCCACTTCAGGAACAAAGAGGAGCCTTTGTGCCTGGAGAGACAGAGATGATTCTTTGCATTCTGGAGCTAAGCTATGGCATTTTGTGGTTGGAAAGGAAACAAAAAAGCTAGCGTTTGCAGCTGAATCGCTGCTTGACGTTTAGAGTGGGTCTCACTGTGGGCGATAGCTTGTCGAACCAGACATTACCCAGCAGTGCATGGCTTTCCGTATTCCAGAACCTCACATACCCTAAGGCTCATATATCTGGCAGCTTCGATTACTGACGCGTGAGGAGACGTAGTTGCAACACACCCGGCTACGATGGGGACGAAGGTGAGATGAGGCACACACTTTGGCTACAAAGGGGAAGACGATGAGATGCGGCACAATGAGATCAATGCCGTTGAGGTAGGTGGTTCACCTGTGACTCCAGCAACAGCAAGAATTGGTCTGAGAGGGTGAAAGACAAGCGCTGTTGGTACTGAGTCAAGCCCCTCGAATACATTGACGATCTTGCTGCAAAATAAGCACCTGCGCATGATACATGAACTGTGGAAAAAGCTTCATGAGCACAGCAACAAAACCATTATTGCAACTTTCTCTAGGACCCACACTTCCTTCGAACTTTGCTCAACGGTTGTGGAGCCCTCAGCTGGAGAAACCTCTATAATCCGCGCCTTTGATGTCGAGATCACGAAGGCTGGCAATCTTTTAAGATCCGCCATCCACTGGCGCCTGGCATTTGCTGAGCCCTTCTTCGAAGCAGAAGCGGAGCCTTCTAAGTGTGGAAGCGCTTGGGTCACTTTCACAAAACAACCATTCTCACCGAAAGCAACTGTGAATGGCAAGCGCAACTTAGTAAGAGAACGGGAAAACCCGTTCGCGGAGCAGGCATTGGACAAGCAAGCACTACGAACCGTTGAGCTTCACAACTTTACATTGCAATAACGTGTTCCTTGCAGCCAATAAGATGATTGTAGGCCGAGTGCTTCCTATCAATCCTGCAAACATACGGCTTTCAGGTGTTAAAGCGTCCACGAAGGATACGCATTTTATTTGACCCTGAGGAACCAGCGGCAACAAGAACATTAAGAACGCGACGTTTGTTACAGTGGAAGAAGATATGAACTTAATCCTGGTGGAAAAAAATTGATTGACGATCCTCAAGCCTAGGCTAGATGTGGCTTTCCTCACAGCATCTAGGTCTTCGAAGCAGCGAACCAGACGGAGCTGTGGGTCATAAAAGCTGAGCACAAGATCAATCGGGTGCGTATTATGGACGGCATGATATCCTGTATTTATCCAAAAGGTTACGCATCCTATGCGCTGCGTATAATACGGTTTAAGAAGTGCAGGATGTTTCGTTCATTGTTTACCACACTGCTCCGTCCGAAAACCCTGCGACGATCCAGCGGTCGTGATATGTCTTCAGGCAGCTCACGCACGAGTTGCGCAGTCTGAGGATCGAAACGGCCCTGCGCTCATCAGGTCTACTAAGTCTGCGAAGACAAAAGCCGATCAGCAGGCGCTCACTTCGATTCAGCAGCTATCGCAGTACAGCAGTACACTTCAGTTTCGCCGTATATGTTTTTGTTCTTGGTCACCCAGAAGGTAGCCTCTACATCTTTTCCGACCGCTCAAAAGGCACGCTCTCCTTCTTTGCTGCTGGGCTAAAGTCATAGCAATTACGCACGACACCTCCCTTGTAAAGATTTGATTTTTGCAGACATACCCGTCGAGAATAAGACTTAAGTTCCACATGACTACGTCTCCGTCGCTCGTGCCTGAAAAACATGCTTCGCGCAGTGAAAGTGTTGAATGTGCGCTTTCTGGGGCCTAACGAACCAAACAATGCCATAGCTACCAAATATTCCGGCAGCGAATGAAGGCAGTTACCAGAAAGAGCTTTTGTGGACTGTGGAAGAAACAGGGATGTGGTTATGTCTCCAATCTTCTGTTTGAAAGCCTTCGATTGGAGCGCTGGGGAGTAGAAGTGGAAGGATGAGTCTTCAGAATGCCAATACCAAAATAAAACGCGCCGCCTCCCGCTCGTCAGCAACTCATTCACATCCCATTGATTAAAGCGGACTTCATGCTGCGCAAGCGCGACACATTACTGTCCCCTGATAGCGTATGCGGCATTATAAACGGTTTCCCTACCCCCGCATTTCTGAGAGCTTCATGACACCGCTTCTGGATATCGAATCCAGGCAAAATATGTTACCTGGATATCTGGGGTGGCTATAACTGCGATTCTCAACGGCGCGTTCCTGAATTCCATGGGAAAGCGTCATGCGCTCCACATTTGTTTCCGGTGTCATATTCATGTAGAATGGGCTAACAATTAAGAATAAGCAACAAGATAGTGTAGCCCTGCCCGGGATCTCTCCAGTTCCAGATTGCCACTCCTTGGTAGATGTCTGATGGAAGGCTGCTATGGTTTCTTTTGGAAGAATCAGGATAATCTGTTGGCTCAGTTCCATCTGGCACCGTGGGATTCAGATACTTGGACGTTTTCTGGGACGGTGCCTTCCCCATGATGTAATCCTCTGGGATAAGGCTAGACAAAGTGGCTAGGAGCTTTGCGTCTGGAGTGAAGTCAACCGATGACACCCCTGAAGCAAGGAAATGGGCCGGGCAAGCTCAAAGTTGTGCATGCTTGAGCTGAGGAAAATTTCGTGCATTAACAAGAAGGTGTGCTGGAATTTTAGCATGCTGGGTCCGCGACTCTCTGAGCGCACCCATAGGGTGAGGGTCCGTATATACTTTCACATGCTTTCCATGCGTTCGGTTCCAAACAATCAGCAAGCTTTCCTGCAAACGGGCAAACGACAGCATTGCCTAATGCACGCCGCTGCGCTAAAAACGGAGACTATGCGGCGAGAATTGCACAATATGTGGGGCAAACCACGGAGCACAATCAAGGATAAACAAAATTTAGTTCGTTCGCACCTGTCCCACGTCCCCAGTTGCAATCCACTCTTTGTCTTCGGAGACAGCGACGGCAGATATCCGGTTAGTATGACCACGCAGAAACACTTGATTGTCACCGTTGGGAGCTGGTGTCCCTCCACCGTAAATGTGAAGAACGGCAGTGTTGGAAGCAGGAAATAACACTGCTCTCTCCCCCGTGCTGCTTCTTGAAAGACTATGCACGCCATTTCTTATCCCCTTGTCGAACCCAAAAGCCCACCAGAGTTCCTGTTAGAAAGAATGCAAGGTGCAGCGTTACGAGTTTTCTACCTCGAGAGGTAGCGCGGTGCACTATGTGCTTACTCCACAAACTTACGACAGGGATGTCGGCGGCATTTGTGCCTTCAGCAGAGCTTCTGGTCGCTCTGTCGCAGACCATGCTACTATTCGCTGCTGGATTATCCGCAACCTTCTTTTTAGGCAATGGCTGTTCGTCTGATGAGGCCTTCAGCGGCCCTTCGCAGACACGACCCATCGCTGTTCTGCAATATAGAGGAATCCCCCCCAACAAAGTACCATAAGGCAGATCCCCACGGGTTCCTGTCCACTCTCCAGGCAAGTATGAATTACTGCCCACCGGGCCCCTGTGAGAGGAATTGAAACAGCGACTGAAACGGTCGCGCTTCACTACCGTCAGAGACTGCGTATAAGCCGTCCTTTCCGCCTCCAGCAACGTTGCTAGTAATTCTTTAAATGTACCGACTACCCTGTGGGTACTACAGACGCCTTAAGGGCTTACGACGATCCGTTTGACTGCATTCCTTTCTTTAATTGCAGGTAGCTTAACCCTAAACCCTCCAACCTGACTGCCTTGCCGCTTCGGCAGGTACAGTACCCGCTAAAGCCTCATATCAAAGGGCAAGAATCTAGGGAAAAACAAGAAAACGGTCTAGAGTATCTAAACAACTCTTATTCTTAACCGCGAGTATGCAACAGCCACAGCCCTGGCCGCCCCCTGAGAGTATGCCCCACATACCCTTCTCCGGTGCAGGCCATTACAGTTATCGAAGGGAGAAACACCTCCTACCAGCCAACGAAGCTCCAAAAAACATTCTTCCATTTACATCATTAAGCTATGAGGCGTGCATAGCATTGAGAGCATTCATATATGAACACAGCCAACCCGTGGTCAGGCAGAGCAGAGACTGATGGCGAACAAATGAGGAATTTCCACACAGAACGCTGGGGATTCCTTTTCAACTTCGAATTTGTAATTGGCACAGATTAACCATTGTTATGTGCTTCTCTGTGTCGAACGGCTGCAGGCGATATGCCCAGTAGTGGGAAAGCCCCAAAGCCCCAAAGCCCCAAAGCCCCAAATGCTCTCAGCATCACACGTGTATTGCTCCGTCATTCATCATTCTCGTCAAGAGCTTGATCTTGTGGGCTAAGTCCAGTGACACTTTGAACTGTCCAGACATGTTCGGGAAAAGCGTACGAAAAGAGCGCAGAATATTGCTGACGGCACGCCGGCGTGCACACAGTTCCTGTCTACCGGGGTGGATTCCTGGAGCTGGAGGTTGGGCATATGTAAAATCGCTCTTCTACGCTATGGCACGAGCAGACAGAGTAGAGTTCATATTCCGCCGGGTTTAAGCTCACCTTATATTAGTGCTATAGATGGCCAAGGACAAGGAATTGCACTCTGGCCGTCGCTGCCGCCGGGTTAAGCCTTTCTGGCTTGTGCTTGATGTGCTTGACTAGCCTGGTAGCGGATGCGAACGCAAGGCAGTTCGCAAGCTATTGTACTTTAAATGAATCAGGAAGTAAAACAAAGGCTTGTTCCTTCACCGCTGAGGAGGAAATTGATTTCTTGATGAAGCACATTCCTATGCGAATGCGTAGGCGCATCATCTAATTGTTGTGAGGGGACAAACTGAAGCATCATATTGCTCCAGGCTTTTGTACATCTCCAGTGCCTAGTGACAGCAGAAGGCCTAGAGCAGTACCGCAGCTCTTTCCTTAGCAGGACATGCTTTAGTACTTCCTGTTTCGTTCAATTCTTGCTGCTCTGGGCCTATACGGTAAGGGAAAACGGGAGGGTAATTACGGAGGGTAATTACGGATTAGGTTAGCTTGCGCTGTGCCGTAATAGCGGCACCTATCTTTTTTTTGGCAACACTTGGTCGTAATGAGTAAGAACTCGCCGAACTCCTCGGGGGCGAGTGAACTCGCGTTTCCCCACGAGGATGCAATCCAGCGCCCAAAGGACCAGGCTTTGCAGGACGAATTCTCCTCAGCAGAAGATGTAAGTGATGGTGGACTGCAAAACAGTGAGGGCAGTAGCTCTACCGTAAAAGTACCTGATTGCAACCCCGCACTTGTCGTCCCCGCCCTCCAAGGATTATCCGCCCTGCATTTGGAGGGATCAGGTAAAACAGAAGCAGTTGAATTTCGTGAGGTAGAGGAGCTAGGAATGCGGCAGCAGGGGCTGGAAGACCTGTTTGAATGGGAAAAACTTAGTTGTGAGACACCGTATTACCTCCAAGGTGAGAATGGGGTTCAGAACCATGCATACTTGGAAAGTAGTTTTCTCTCTTACACAGCGCTAGTTTCCCCTGGTTGAGCGCTTCAGCAGCAGATTCAGCTGCTGAAGCGGCCAGCGGGTCATCTGACGTGGCCATGAGCGCATTTTTGTGCGGTGCCCCCCTCTGCCGTTTAACTGTCAAGGAGATGCGTCATTCGACACTCCAGAAAAACAAGCGGAGCGCCAAGCGCTCAAGACACATCATGAAGTGGTGGCGGCCTTGGTGGATATATGGGGTTACTTTACAAAAGATACCCAAGATCGCATTTCCAAGGAAGAATATGCTCGGGTACGAGTATCCAGGCCCTTGCTTGCTAAGTGCTGCTCCTGCGGCAACCACCGAAGTATTACATTGTAGGTTCTAGGCTCTCACGATATTAGAACATATGCATTTGATTTTACCTGCTTTTTTCCACCCATATGTAAACACTACAGCTCGGTCGGCAAAAAAAAGATGATGGCAGCAATGCCTGTTAACAAAACGGAGGTATACTCATTTTGGGTTCGATTGAAGGTTTTGCTTCGTATCTGCCTCGTACTGGTACCTCAACTGCGAGGCCGCGAAGTAGTGGATTTGATAGAGGAAGAATGGCGACATGACTCACGTGGCGAGGACGGTCTGAGCCGTTCCGCATTCTTTGAATCATTTTTCCAACTGGCCGACATATGGACCCCAGGCATAGACGGTTCTGCCTACGCAGAGTTCCTCAAGCGCCTTTTCCGCAGAATTACTATTAAGAGAGCCCGCACTAAAACAGGTGCAAGAATGACAAAAATTAGGCCTAAGATCGTCGTCAAGGTCGTTAACAGGGACCTCAAGGTCAGACAGTGGCGCTGGGATATCTTTTGGTGCTGCGGCATGTGACCATGCAGTGGCTACTCTAGTATAACAATTGTTCGCTACGAAGGCAAACACGGACTGGATTGGCACTGCGGCGCGTGCGTGTGTTTGTTTTGGATTGCGCACTTAGAAGCCCGAGAATGAGCAACGGGACCAGGCAGACGCCCAGCAGGTGGATCTTATTGTGAATTCGGTTGGCGACGCGGGGTGTGTCGCTGAATGGAGCAAAGCCGAACATGAAGCAGTCGAGGCACTGCTAGTTGCGCATATGAGCGGCGAAAAGGCATCCCTGGAGAGCCTTGAACTCCGTGAGGAGGTGCTCCACGACTGCACGGAGGTATCACAAGATGAGCCGGTGTCAACCGAATGGGCTGACTACTCAAACATAGCGCCGCTGGGAGCTGCCTCGCGAGCGTTCCTGGAGAGTGTCTTCTCGAAATCTGTAGCAGCAGTTCTACAGGAAAACCGAAATCAAGACGATAGTATAAATCGTCGAAATTACACAGAAACAGAACTTACCGCCGGCGAAGACCAGGACACGCCGCAGCCAGGTACGCAAGACATCGAAGGCCCAACAACTCGACAACCGACGCCTCCACGTACTCTCCGGCACTTCGCAGATTACAAAAGCAAGACCGACCTACCTCTTCGAATATCCGGAGTCTCAGAAGAGGAGCTTAGGCACTTCAACTCCATTGGGCTGCCAGTACAGATGGAGGGCATGCCGAGACTAGTTCGCCTCAAGGGAGCTCCTCAGCTGCTGCAAAAGAAACAAGTTCATGAACACGAAACAAAACAGAAGGCGCAAGACAATGAACCCAAAGAGGTCGAGGAACCGGAACCTCGGAAAGATGTGTGCTTGTTGGATGACAGTCAAGTAGCGCTGCTCCAAGACCTGACGTCCGTTGATGGGAATGACCTGAGCCTGGAGGATCTCAAGAATGCCCTGGCATCAGGCAAAGGCGAAACAACACCTGTGTTTACGCCACCCGTAGACCCTGACCCGCAACTAGAGCGCCAACCTGTTCCAGCGCAGGAAATTGCGACCGAGCCAGAGTTGAAACCAGCGCTTGAGCAGAAGTGGAAGCTAGATCCGCATCCGGAGACGCATGCAAAATTAGAGCCTGAGCCCGACCCGGAGTGGTGGAAACCCGCTCAAGATGGGGAGCACGATGAAGGCAGTACAGACGTCAAGGCAGGCACCGAGAAGCCTACACCAGTCCCAGAAGTCCAACTTGCACCACCCGTGGAAAGCAGTACTGATGCCGAATCAATTCTGCAAAAGAAGGGCTCCGGCAGGCCCTCACCAAGGTTGATTCGGCACTCAGGGAACTTCAGGACGCGGGTTTTTTACAGTCTTTGTGAAGAGACACCGAAACAAAGAAACCCCAAGTCATTTCGACGGTCAATTATGATAAAGGGTGTGGGGTCCGTTGTTGTTAGGCATTTCGCTGACTTTACAAGTTCACACTTGCCGCAAATTAGTAAGTGGACGGGGGCGGCGCATTCCCACGCACCGAATTTTGGCTGTTTGCTTACTCTACGCGCAATCTCTGGGGATACTGTAGAGCAGCATGATCATGCGTATTCATTTGCGTGCAACTACACAGTGCAGCCCTTTTGGTTCCTGTTGGAGGTATTAATTTTCTTCCTTCAGGGAGAGGTAGTAAGCCAGAAAACGAACCTACCTCCGAAGCTGCGTCCTTTCCCTTTGAACTCAGTCAGAAAACGGACCGTACGTCACCGATGCTTTGAGCGTAATTCTCATTGAGTAGGTTGGTACATCGTTTCACGTATATGGTAGTTGGAGAGGGCCATGCACATGCGCTTAATTGTGCGGCCCATGCATGCGCCTGCAGCACTCCTAGATGAGGGGCAGGTGGATGGAGAACCCTGGCACAAAGCGTATCTCCAAACTGATGAGCCACCGCAGGAGCACACTATTATGCTGACGGAAGAAGACGAGGTGGCCTTTGCTCAGGAGCCGCGACAGGCAATCCTGATCGTAGGACCCAATGGCCCCGGTAAACTGCAAGCAACCCACAATTCACACGGATTGTGCAACAATCTCGAAAGCACCTTGCATGTCAGCGTGAGCGTTTGCCAACGCACCCTTAGCTTCTCTGGTGTATTGTGTTGATAGAAAAAAGCCGCGTGGCCTACAGATTGGCAACAAATTTAGGGCTAGAATGGCTGCAAGCCGAGTATCTGCTAATGGCACTTTGCAAAATAAGCCCTACCTTGCTGACCCCCTTGGGCAGACGGTAAGTACTTGCAAATGGCAATCACAGAAATGTTCGTCAGGTAAGCGATGGAAAGTAGTTTTGGCTATATATCTGTTTGGAATAAACCCTGGCGGGACGCACCAAAGTGCGAGCGACTACCCTGATAAGATGGTTTGGAAAGGATGTAGATAGAGGGGAGCTTCCTGCTACAGGTTGACGCGAATGATGCGCCGAGGGTCGCGCGTGCCAATACTGGAGGCGCTGTTGCTCACCCTAGAATTTATGGCAAGCAAGCGCTCGCGCACAGCGGGGTATGTGCTTGAGTTGCCTAATGGGGAAAGACAGGTGAATAAAGCCAGGCAACCGCTTCTTCTACGGAATAGTAGACTGTTCTCCTAATAACACATCAGCTCCTTTCATCCTTTTCCGTAGAACTCTATCCCAGCCAGTGGCGCCTGCGTGCTACCAGCTGTGCACTGAGGCTACAACCTCTGACTTAACGAGGATATATCTCATCCGAAAGACAGAGAGGAGGAAGGTGCGAGCTGTGGGGTGTTGCATCGGGGCACTAGGAAGTCAATGCCTTTCTGAGGCATCTTCGGGATTTAAGTGGGCGTCGGCGGCTCAACTGGCCAGAGCTGCTCCTCCGGCACTCACGAATTTGCGAACAGCGGCAGCGTCGCCGTAGAGAAGAGAGGCGGCGAGCAATATTGGAAAAGAAGAGTGCCAGCCAGAAGGACCAGACAGCAAGTCCTAAAGAAGGCGCCCTTCCACTTGCAGGAGTGGGAAGCTTTGAGAGCCAGAGTAGTAATGAGATCAGGCATCTTGTTGATAAAGAAGTAGGAGGGGTCATTGCAGTAACTGGAGGCCCTTCGGTCTCTGAGCCCCAACAGATTGCTGCGCTCGCCGCGTTGGCCTCCTCTAATAGAGATCGAACCTTTCCCTCGGATTCAGAGAGAAATGGTAATCACACGACAAGCCGCAGCTTTGCCCACGCATGTGCCTGAGGGATTTCGGGGGGGCCACGACTACGGAAAGGCGTAGGATTTGACATTCGGCTACTGCGTTGAGTTGTATGTCCTTCCTCAGATCCTCTTGATGCCTTTCGTTTGGACCTTGGAGACGGGAACGCAGGCAACAGCCCTGCGGCGGAAGCCCCCGAGGCCCTGGATGAAGGTCCAGGCACGTCAGGGGAAATGGCGAAGGAAACTAAAGATGGTAGCAAAATATTTGCTGAAAAAGCCGAGTCCGGGCTATTAGGGCCGTCACAGCCTTCCAGCATTGGGAACCTGGAAATGGCAGTGCCAGTCGAAGGCGCAGATAAAAAAGAGCCCAGCAACCGCCCAGCTGACGTTGAAAGCCTCGAAACATCTGGTGAATGCTGGCCTGTAGCGCAGCAAGAGACTGAAGCGACACAGGCAGCACAGGCTTCGGAACAAGGTGCAAACATGCCGGCAACCTCGAAGGACAAGCCCAGCATAGACCCACACGAAGTTGAGCCTCGAAGAGAAGTGAGCAACGGGGCAGTAGCGACTGAAAAAGCAAGCGCTACTTCGAACTCCCACAGGAACGGCGGATGCCAGTTGAATTTTAATGCTGAAGACACGCCTGCCAACTCAGATACAAAAGATCCAGAAGGAAGCTGGGCTTTGGAAGATCACACTGAGAACGCTGCACCTACTTCCGCACTTGCTCCGTTTCCTGACGGTGGCAGTGGTGAAGCGTCCAACGGACCTCATACGGGCAGTAGCACGAATTCTGAAAATGCCAGCAGTGCTGCTGCTGAGACAAGTGAGAGGATGGAGCCTGAGAAGAATGAAACTGAGCTGCAGCCGTGGTTGGTTGAGGATGGCGGTTCCGAGCTTAGCTCTTCTGAAGCCTCTGACTCAGATTCGGAGGCAGAGGAGCTGTTTCGTATCGCGGCTGCCGATGCTTCGCAACCCCAGCCCAACCCCTTGATGGACGCATTTCCTAGCCGTGCAGTATTCCTCATGATCGACCCGAAGGACGGAGGCCGCACTCTCATGTCAGGAAATCCTTTTTAGGGCTGCAGGATAGGGCTCATATTTGGTCAACTACAGGATGTAGAGCTACTTGTGCGGCTTGTTATTCTTCAACAGAGTGCCAGCACTTGAATGGGCATGGCGCCGCCTGCACAGTTTCCAGTTACTGGCCTCAACCCCAAGTTGCTCTCATTTGGACTGCCGTTGCAGCTCCTTTTGCGCAGGGTGGACACAACCAGCGGAGCGCTCGTCGACGAATTCCGCACAGACCCCGGTGAGAAAGGCATGCAGGAGTCAAGTACAAGTAAGAAACGCCGTCTCTTGCGTTGAGTGAGTTTTTACGGCAGCACTATCTCTCTTCCAAGGCAAGAGGCTGCTGTGCGCAGGTGACAGCGCAGACGGCGGTGATCCCGCAGGTGCTTGACGAGACCCCCGCGATACCCTCTACTCCAGAATGGCTGACCCTCTGGCCACGGAATAGGCGTTAATACGGCAAGAAGAAACCCCTTGCCACTCTATCCATGTGTGCTGCTCTGCAGATGGGATGCAAGATGGGGAAGAGGAAATAGAGCTATCATTCAATGCTGAGGCCGACTTACTGGAGGTGAAGCTGGCACCTGAATGCTTCAGCACTTTGAAATCAAGCCGTGCTTCATCCAGCTCCTGTGGGCTCTTGCACAGCATTCACGAAAAGATCAATATGCCTGCAGAGGTGATACGCTGTCAGTTCTTCTAGAAAACCGTAGTATACGGGAGCCAACGCTAGCTTACAGGCGTGATAATAATGTCTCCTACAGGAGTTGAAGAAGGCGCTGCCTCCCAATTTAAGTAGCACACCGTCCTTTGAGCAGGAATTGGCGCGTCTTAGCGAACATAGGTCTCAGGGACTGTTGTCTCAGCGGCTTCTTCTGCAGCACTTGCTGCAGACTCTGGGCCCCAACAGAGTGGTGTTTTTTGCAACAGAAGGTGAATGTAGCACTAGCATCTCCCCTCTCCACTCAACTCTTAACCCAGGGGGTGGTTTTCCACTGGTGGTCTTGCGCATGTCTTCCGGAAATATGCCTTATCATCCTGTGTGAGGCTGCTTCAGATCAGGATAATGAAGACGGTTCCACCTTGGAGGCCCAAGTAGTGATGGCTGGACCGCGAATTGCAGCTGCCCTAGAGTTTCTCGCCGTCAGGCCTGTCGGTGAAGTTGCATCTCCTGTGCAGGGGTCCTCTGAAATTCAGCATTTCAGCGAACTGCTGCTGCGAGGTGGCAACGCTCAACAACAAGCGGAAGATGCCGGAAACACAACGGAAGGACCAGAGGATGTTCAGGAAGGAGAAGGCGTTCTTGCAGCCACTGAGGTGACAGGAGACGAGGGAGACGAGAATGCTGAACAGAGCGGTTCCGGCACCTCGAGAGGCGTCGGCGGGGTTGGAGAGTCCCCAAGGGTCACCGTCCCTCCTAAAAAATTCCCTATGATTGACGACATCTGGGGAGAGTCTCAACCTGAGGTTTTAAACTCGGAAGGCCATTCAGCGCTAGAAGCAGAGGAAGCTAGTGCATCCTCTGGTAGTAGCACTTCAGATGCCGATCAAGCGGGGGATGAGGCTAATATGAGAGAGAGGCATGAGGTACACAGCAGTACTGAGGACTCCCGCCAATTAGATCATTTGCTCCAAAGACGTTGGACTGCGTGGGGGCCTTACTGCCCGGTTAGCCTGCAAGAGAATGGGAAGGTGGTGGAGGGGCAAAAGCAGTTCGCGGTAGAATTCGCTGGAAAGCTCTTCCTCCTAGCAGAAGAACAAAAACGTGCCAAATTTCTCAAAGACCCAAAGAAATATGTTGATACACCGCCAGCCCTACCTCGCAACACAAACGTGTACCTCTTTGGCCCGTCATATGCGGGAGCGGCGAAGCAAGCCCGACTCCTGAGTCAAACCTACGGACTGTTCACTGTGGACGCGGAGAAGGAGATCGCTGACGGCCACCGCCGAAGGGAAGAAGAAAAGCGACGGCTGATGGAAGGAGAGGAGCGCCTCAAAGAAGAACTCCTACTGCAGGAGAGACTGCAGAAAGAGCGGCAACGGGAAGAAGAAGAACAAAGGCTCATGCATGCAGAGGACGTTCGGAGGCTCGCCCTTGCCTTTCCAGAGACTCCAAACGAGGTTGTCAACCCTGAAAATCCCACAAATGGAGATAGTTTGGAGCGACCAGGTTCGCAAAAGGCTCCGCTCGGACCTCAGGGCTCAGCCTCTACAGGAGGCGCAGGATCCGGCTTGGATAGAGGCAGCATCTCCAGCTCGGCGGAACCCGAGAAAGAAACAACCACAGACTCTGCCGAGGCGACTAAGACGGCTCTTTTCACGACGTCTGATGCAGAGGAGCAGCTGCTGAACGAAGGCCAAGCTCTCGGTAAACAATCAAGCGTTTTTTCCAGTTACATAGAGACGAGACAGCAGCAAGCTGTGGACTCCCTCTCTGATGCAAGTAAAGAAGCCTGCTTTTTGTGCGGGATTGGTAGGTAATGAGGCAGTAGTTAGGCTGATTGTCCAAACTCTTGGGCTAGAAGAGAATGTGAAGCGTGCCGACGCCCTCGACAAATACCGAGCAGAGATGGAAGCGTACGAAGCGGTGGGCCTTCGCAGGAAAGCCCTTTCTACTGGCAAACTGAATTCTTTCTAGCATGCCTTTCGCCCGACACAGTTAAATTATTCGTGCTCAGAAATACCTTCAACGCTTCCACAGTAATTCGGCACGCAGAGGTCTGTTCCACGAGAAAGAAGGCTCGTAGAAGTTAGCGCACAAACGCCATCGGGGTGTGGAGCGAAGGTGAGGGGTGCTGCAGAAGTACGGCCAAAAGACAGACATTGAGGGAAACGACGAGCCGCAGGAGGAAGAAGATGCCAATGAGGAGACCGGGGATGCCTCAGGAGGGAACCGTAAGAACAAGGTGGTCAACGACATCAAGCCGCCTCCGCCGACAGCCCCTCCGGAGTTGCTAAAGGTAGCAACTGGGTTCGTCCTCGTGCATCAGCCCCCCACTCAGGCATTTCTGCAACAGTTGGCCAGGCTGGGCATTGAGTTCCACCATATTGTCCACTTCACTAACAATCCGGAAGACATAGAGGAGGCAGAAGCTGCAGGAGCGACCCAGTTCGCGTGCACTGACTCGGAGGTCGTCTTCGAAGACGAAGTGAATAAGCCGGAAGTTGACGCAAATGAAAAGCAGAGAGAGAGGGAAATAGACGATGCTTTGATCCTTGACATTGAAGTGGAGCCAAGTACGCGCGTTCGGCCCTTGACCGACACGCAAGGAGCGTGCGACCTGCAGCAGCAACAAGGAACAATCAGCAAATGTGCATTCGCTATGCTTAAAGTTCGCCCAGTCCAACCAAAGGCTGCAAACAGTGCAGCGAACAAGAGCGCACCACCAAAAAGGCATCCATTTCCGTTTGCGGTTCTCGGTTCTGCTCCAGCGAAAATTGAGGCTACTTTGACGGACTTGTTGAAGCACTACCGACTTCGACAACTGATCGATCCATTCTATATCAAGCCCGATCCGCCTGAGAGGGTGGTACCGCCTCCAAACCTTGAAGAGGTGAGCTCTATTTGCTTCCCTGGCAGCAGACCGCAGCTGTTCCACATCAATAAAGAGCTTCCGTAGCTCCCCCTGATAGGGCTTGACGCATTGAGCGCTCTGCAGATCTATGCACGCATTGAGCAAGTTAATTCTTTTGACGGCCCTCCCGAAGGCGAGGAGTGGAAAAAGGCTTCAAAGATGTTTCCATTTCTCCCTCCACTTCCACTGGTGCTGTACGGTGAGGAGTTTTAGCTGTTTCCCTAGGGGACCCCACTCCCTGTTGAGCAATGCACAAATAGATCCGATACACTGTAGAGCCGGGCTTTATCCCCACAGAGAACTCCGAATCTTTATCGATCTGTGCGTAGGCGACGTGGGGAACTACTGCCCGGTGACACTACGTGACGAGAAGTGGTTGTTGCCGGGGAAGCCTCGGCTGAGTCTACAGGTCCGACAGAGAGTGTACATGCTTTTCGACGAGGAAAAGAAGTACAAGTTCACTGCCGATACCCGGCGCTACCTGCCATCCCTGGACAAATGCAACGACGCCAATGAAACGGGCACTCTCAAGGTGCCGCCTCCACGGTGAGACGAACGTAGCAAATCGTCTAATAAAGCTGCTTCCACTTTCTTTACGGGGTCTGCGGGACAGCCGCTGTCGGCTTGCCACGGCAATCGGCTAGGCATGCACATTTCCATATCGCGTTGCAGTATTGCATTTTTGGGTTCGCTGGGCTCGGAGGTGGAAAAACGAATAACCCAGCTTAGCAACGAATATGCCATGCCTTTCCTGGATCTACGAGCCGCTTTTTCGTCGGCATTAAAGAATGAGCTGCTGATGCATTTGAGGCAAGAGAAGCGAGCAGCTCTGGAAGAGGCCCTGGATGAGCACAATCCTGAGGAGTCCGCAGGCTCCCCGGACGAGGCCGAGGACGCACTCTGGCCGTTGCTGTCTTTGGGCAGCAATGATCTCCGTGAAGCTGATGGCGATATGTGCAAGCAGATATGGCTGGGGTTACATGAGGAGGTGCAGCAGAAACTGTGCCAAGCGGCTCTAAGGAGTGTCCTGCACCCTGATATTGGCCCTGTGTTCATTCAGGGTCAGTTGCTCATACATACAAAGTGAATACCCTGCGCCTTTACCTCCCGTGACGGGTGGTACGCGGAGCAATGAATCAGTTTTACTGCTCTGGCTTTACACTTCTGTACTTCCAGCTGGCGTCTTCACGAATCCCCTCGTCGATGCAGCACCAGCAACGGAAGATGAGATAGAGGAACAAGTGGGGTTTAATATTGGGAGTTTGATGGACAAGGCTGGACGTCTGCCTGACTGCGTCGTTATATTTTTGTAATTCCCTGCCCTGCTCTTCTAGAATCACAGATTCAATACGCTTTGCTCTTCGTGCAGCTGTGGGGCGCTAAATGAGTCGCGTTTCACAGTACCCCGCGTTGGCCTCCGAATGCGCAGGTGTACGGACGAGGTGGGAGTATCTCGCTGTCTGGATTTGGAGAAGATCGACAGAGAAGCAGTGGAGGCTAAAAGGAGGGAGGAACTTGAAATGAAACAGGTTAGGCCTGCAGTACGGCACCTTCTGCCCTGCACTGAATGCATTGAATATCCTAGGACAGTCAACTGCAGTCGACAGCGTAGGAATGTGCATACTCATGCTCTTGGGTGTTCGTGCTGTTTTTACAGGAACGGAAAGCCAGGCGAAAATCTCCCTTGGACTCTTCCGCAGAAGGGGACAGCGAGTCGGGTACGGGGGGGGTGGAGGAGGAAGGAGAGGGAGACGGGGAGGCTGAGCTGTCGGCCTCTGAGAAAGCCCGCCAGGAGTTTCTTAAGAACAAATTGGCCAGAGACGCAGCCCTGCTGGACTGCGCCAAGTCGTTTGCAATGGCGAGAGTGCCTGTGCTTACGGTGCGGTCGGAACTGTGTGAGGGGACGCTACTGGCCACCATCCGGAGTTTCCTGAAGAGGTTCTTGAACTACAGAAAGAGCCTGCTGTTGAGTCCACAGTGCATCTCTCTCCCCAAGGCAAGTCACACAGGCTTCATATGCGTGGCATGCTCAGTCTCCCCTTATTGGCCCGGTTGGGGATCATCAGATGCACCGACGCTGCCCAAGATGGTGTACCCCTTTCTTTCGCTTTTGTGCAGTCTTTGTTGCGTACTGTCTCTGTGGCTGTAGTCATTCTGTCAGCGCCTCCTCCGCTGTCGGGCTGCGCGGCTCTCCAAGTACCTTCTTTGTTCTCCCATGGATGTGGACGCCATGGTAAGCTACAAGGGCTTGGCTTTCTTTGGACGAGTTTGCACCACAGCCTGTTTTTCAGAGTATGCTGCCACTTCTGTAGTCAGGTGTTAGAGGCTGATTAGACTAATCGTCTCTACCTACATACTGCACCGCTGGGGCGTTGCCTGCACTGCACTCCTTCAGCGACTCAAAGACTTCGCGGAGTTCCCCGTCCTCTTCAGAGACCGAGTGTACTTCCCAGCGGAGACAGAAGAGGAGCGTAACATCTTTTGCCAGACCCCCTCGAAGTTCCTTACGGGACCAACTCCGCCTCCAAAGCTGCATCATCCCGCATGCATCTTCTTGGGCCCCCTGAACAGCAACCGGACGCTGGTGAGAGCCATTTGTCATCAGCTTCATCCACTGAGGACAACGAAACTGCGAATAACCCAAATACCTACTCCCCAATGGCGTGTAGAGCTGCTTAAGGATACTCAGGAGTTGCTGATTAGGCTAGGCGAAGGCATCTCACGAACACTTGTATACAAAGCGGAAAAATGGCTGGAAAATTGTGCGTGGACGGGAACTGCAGATTGCCAAGCAGATAGCCGAGTGGTGCGGCGCCCTTTACGTCAGTCCTTTCCAGCTGCTACAGGAAGTGACAGCTGCGCCTGCCCCTACTTCGGCCCTTAACAAGTGCATCTTGGAGGACCTGCAGCAGTGAGGGGACAGCGTGCCTACGAGCTGCCAACAGTTGTCCTAAACGCGTCATAGTTCAGCTGGGGATCTCTTAGTCAAGGGTGTACTACAGCCAGCCCACTGTGAGTCTGTTTCTCCTCATCTTGTTGCAGAGGCAAGGCCGCCGCGCCATGCTGCACATGCCGGCTTATTGCTGCTCGTCTTCGGTCGCACGAGGCGAAACAGAGAGGTTTCCTTCTGGACGGATGCGGCTTGGAAGGCGTGGGGGTGGAGCAACTGATGGAGATCATGCGTGCGGGCCCCCACGAAGCCACAAGCCTCTCGCGCAAACATCGACTCGAACACAACATATCCAGAAGCTCCAGCTCGATAGAGGTGCCCACCTTTCCAGTGGAGACGGAGGGGCCCCAACCAGCAGCTGAGCAGCCCCATGAGGAGGCCACCGCCCAGATGCTGGATTCATCGAAACCCACAGAGCTGGACTTAGAGGGCAGCGGGGGATATAAGGAATCCGCAGTCATTGTTGGCGCCTCCTTACACGCGCAGGAGCCTGAGCCTGCCTCTCAGCCAGAGCCCACAGAGGCAGAGAAGGTTGGACCGGTTCATGATGCAGGCGAAGTTGAGAAAGAAGGCATTCAGGGCTCTGCTGAGCTGATTACCAGCATTCCGCCGCTGCAGTTGGGGGACCTGCGACCTTCTTCTGCAGACTTCCGAAGGCAGTATCCGCTGCCGGTTGAATCCGGCAGCAGCAGCGAGACGCCGTCCCCTGGGGCACTCTCCTCGCCCCCAGCTCCCTCAGAGGGAACAGCGGCTTCTGCAAATCATAAAGATGTGCATGCATGCGAAGTAGAGGAGGAGGGAGAGGAGGAGAACAATGTGACGCCTCCTCTCCCGTTCCCGCTCGTGGATATTGTTTTTGTGTTCGACCCTGAGGGGGAGGACTTGTGGGCCGAAAAAGAACGACTGCTCCAAGAAGAGGAACATAAAATTCCACACCAAGGAACTTCGAAGCAGCGTGAGGTGTCCCAGATAGCAGGCTGCTTAACTCGCTAGCTGCAGTAGCATCTAAAGGAGCTGTTCCCTGAGCCCCAGATTCTAACGCTAGAACTTGGGGTGTACAGGCAGCAGCAGCTGTTCATGCTCAGGAACGCAGCCCATTGCACAACCCATTCAACCTACTGTGCGGAGCGGCTTCTTCTAGGACCATCGTATCCTTACGGAGACAGCCGGGACCTCCTGGAGACCCCTGACTGGGCGAATGCGAGGAGAGTGCTTCAGGAAGGGGCGGTTCTGCAGCAGGTGGAGGCGTTTCGCTCTCTGGGCGTTCGAATTGTGTGAGCTGACGATACACCTAAAATTGATAGCCACTGTTAAAAATGAACAACAACAGAGAGGGCAGAGAGAGGTTCGCTTTTGGCACTTCTCGCACCTACGACTGACCAGGTTTGAGCTATAGCGCATATATTAGGACCCGAAAGATGGTGAAGCGTGCCAGACAAAAAATTTCAGCGTGCAGCTTCTACGGGTATTCCACAGACTGGAGGGGCCGTGTGGGGTGTGGGTTCTTCTCCGCAGTAACGTTCCCGCAGGCAAGTCGGAGTGGCTGCAGTTTGACTTGGTGAAGAAAGAGATCGAAGTGAGTTGCTCTTGAGCCCGTGCTGCACTCAGATGTCTCTTTAGCTTCGGGTAGATAGACAGGGAACTGCATTGCTGTTTATGCTAGCCCGAAGAGCCTGCACAGAGGCAGTGTGAGTGGTGTGGGACCCACACTCCCCAGGCCATGCTGCGCCGCCGCCACGGCTACGAGCGGCTCAAGGCACAAGGGCGCCCTGCAAGGTGCCCTATAGAGCAACGAACGGACACCGCTGTTGAAGGCTTCCTTGCCACCTACTGCCCAGTATGCTGGACTGTAGACGTAAGACGGCTGCAGACGTAGCGACAACTACAAAACTGACGCACGCTTACAGACACAAATATTCATAGAAAGAGGCAGACGCACAGAATAAGCGAGACACAAAAGGCGGCAAACTGAATGGCAGAGAAATAACAGCTCGAAGCACGCCTGTTAGGGTTTGACTTGTGAGGGGTGTAGAAGGGCCTGTTTGTAGCCCTAGAGGCGTTGCAGTACACGCCTATCCAGCTTCAGCTCTTGATTGGGGCATACGCATACAACGGAAACAAGAGAAAACTTGAGAGAGCTCCCACTGTGCTGTGCGCCTGCTGCGCTCTTGTATGCAATCCATCAGAACGCCTTGAGGAACTGTAGCGAGTCACCAGAGTTTCAGGTGGAGATCAAAGGGGAACGATTTTTCTGCTGCTCTGAGGAGCACCTCAATGTAATGCCCCCTTGTGCTTCCTGTTGCAACTGCTGGTGGCCTTCCTCCGCACGCATAGCTGAGGCTCCCTGATCACCGAAGGCTGTCTGGCCTCATCCTGAACGCTTAACACTAGACGAAATTCCAAAACAGCGTCTTTGCCCGTTTCATGCGAAGCGTGAATGCGTATGGCCATTGGCTTCGTGGGACGAGAAGGGGAATGCGTTTGCGCGGCTTTGTTGTGTGGCGCTGCAGCTGTTGCTGTCTCAGCCCAAACCCTACCTCCAGCAGCACTTGCCGGAACTGCTGCCACGGAGGCTCAGCTCGGAGGCAGGTAGTGACTGTGCTTCGCTAGCACTGAAGGGATACTGCCCCGTAACACTAGGTGGGGACTAGGTGGGGACAGGCCTAGCGTCTGTGCCCTCTGTGCAGCATTAAAAGACTAAATCGTAAACGCTAAACCCTGTTCCCTCAGTATCTAAGAGCAGCGTTTTCGCGATCTCCCGAATCGCGGCTGCACGCACGAATGCCTTCATTTTGAACCCCTGAGAGTGTTGGTGGCGTTGGGCCGTTGGGCCCTGCGGGTCTAGGGTTCACAATTCAGCTTTTAGGGAGTAACGCAAGGGATTAGGAGGGACAGTGGGTGGGTGGTGCGTGCAGTGCATAGCGGGGAGTTGGTGAAGGGAGACCGGCGTGTGTTGGTGAGTTACGGGGAGGAGACATTTTGTTTTGTTGGTGAAGAAGAGAGGAGACAGTTTCTGCTGTTCCCTGCTGACTATCGAACACGCGCGCAACTGCCTGCAAGGCTCACAGGCAGCCAGAGGTTGGGGCAGCCCCCGAAGACACTCTCCGGCATAGCTCAGGCTGCAAGGGAGCGCTGCATGCAGCAGCTCCAAGGCAGCGAGGTCTCCGGAAACCCACTGATGGCAGAAGAGGGCCTTGCTAAACTCCGAGATACGCTCAAAGATGCACTCACATACATAGAGGTGCAGCAACACACACTGAACCTGCCGCTAGGAGGTAGATGCACTCGCATACATAGATGTGCTGCAGAACACTCTCGCCCTTACCTCCTGCTGCTGTTGCTGCTGCCTTCGAGTGGGCAGCAGCATCAGAAACCCCATGGATTCAGCTGCGTGCACCTCCATAGTTGGGGTGCACGCCTCCCCACATGACTACTCAAAAGTCCTTCGGCACAGAACAATTGCAGCGAGAATAATGTATATGTAGAGCCCTCAACCGACCAGTAGTTAGAGGCAGAGACAAAAACAGCGACGAAGAGAGAGACGAAAACAAACACCTGGTGCAGCTGGTGTCAGTGAGGCGCCACTGCAAAACTGAAGCTCCCTTGCGAGACGCAGGTGGAGACTGGCTAGCCAGGCACTTTGCTTTTTTGTCTCTATCTCCGTCTCAATCCCCATCTCTGTCGTTGTTTGTGCCCTTTTCGCTGTTTCTGTTCTTGTTTCTGTACCTGTTTCTGGCCCCTTTTTTCTCCTTTTCGCTGTGCGTTTGCACATGCAATCTGCTAGTGCCGTCTCAGTTGTTTCTGCATGAGTCTCTGCTTCTGTTTCTATCTCCTACTCTGCGTCTCTCTCCGTCCCCTTCGCTGTTATTCGCTTCAGGTCTCTACATTAGATCTGCTGATGGAGGCACTTTTGTTTGTGGGGACGAACCGCCCGCTGCATCCTCAGTGCAACCCACACTCTAGTGCTGTGCGGCTCCTCGCTCATTACCTGCGGGCTAAAAACCCTCTTATTTCCGGCTACGCTAAAGCAGAGGCAGAGGCAGCGCTTCAAACCTTTGTTCAGGGTAGGTCTGCTGTGCTGCCGCTGCAACTGCTACTGCCGCCACTGCTGCAACTGCTGCCGCTGCTGCCGCTACTGCTGCTGCTCCCTCAAGACGCATGATGGGTGTGGGGAGAGGACGGGGCGTCAGGCATCAGACAGCAGAAAGCAAGCAAAGAACAGTTGCAAGCACACAGCTCGCACGCAAATCATTTAACTGTAGGAGACAGCATGAGCGACTAACGAGACAGCGAAGGAGAGTGCAGAGAATTAAATCGGAAGCAGCAGCGCGACGCGCAGCAGCACGGTTTCGGGTGTGAGCTGCGGCGGCTCTGTCTCTGTCTCTCTCGCGCGGTGGTCGCTTGCGGTGCATCGGCGTATCACAGGCTGCTGATAAGTAAAAGTGCATAAAGATATATGAGCAAATGATGAAGGTGTATAATTGCTGCTGTGGGAGCGGAGAGAAGGATATTCTCCAGCAGAAAAACTCAGGGGATGCTTGCATCTTTCTTTGCTTTACAGAATGCCAAACTCCACTCGAGGCCCGGCAAGCAATCCTGCAGCTTCATTACCACAAGATAAAGGAGGGGCAGACCTACCTGCCCCCAGAACAGGTCCGACCTTACGAGGCGAAGGCCTCACCCCAAATTCTACAGCAGGAGTGGAGTCACCTGACTGCGCTGCACTACGCACGGGTGACTAAGAGGCTAGACAAGCTGCTTTCCCTTGATTGAGGCAGCAAAAGCAGCAGAAAAGGCAAAAGCAAAAGCATATAAAAGGCACACAACGGACTCAGGCTAACCCTCCCAGCCATGAGAGAGTCCAGATCCGGCATGGCGGTGTTTGCATGCACTTCAACATGGTGAGGCGCGGCGGTTATGGGGCCCGCCACGCATTACATCAGCACATGGTGCGCCCCAAACCGGCCTCAGCATCGCTGGGAGTATAAGCGTGATGTTGTGGTAATAGGGGCATCAGTGAATTATCCTTAAATACACGCAGAAACTAGAAACAACAGTTTCAGACTCTCAGATGCAGGAATGGCTGAGGGCCGGCGTTCTCCCCCGTTGCTGCTGTTAAGGCAGTGCGTTCCGGCGTCACCATAGCCTGCTGCAGTTGCGCAGAGCTTTCAAAGCTTTGCCTGCCTAGGCTTTTTCCGTGGGAACGCATCTAATGCTTTAAGCTGTCTTTGCCCTCTTGAGCATCGCCGCAGCTGACACGCCTGGAGAAGGCTGTGGGTTTGGAGTCTCGGGTTGTAAGGCTCTTAACTAGTAAACTCTCTCAGAGGTGTAGCGGAGTTTGTTGTTTGCAACCCTGTTCCATATCTGTATCTCTCGTGTACGCCCTCCCTAGTGGCTGTGTGGTAGTATGCACATGCCGGTAGCAGTCAACCTGGACACTCAATGAAAAGAAATAGACTAATGCGCACACATATGCTACGTAGGGTGTTGTAGGGCCTGTGGGGCCCTCAGATAAGGCGCGTGCAAGGTGCCGCTTAGCGGCCGGGGCGGTCTGTGGCGGCGAGACCGGAGGCGGGGCGAAGGGGAGGAGCTAATCCCTATAAAAGCGGCTTAATTTGTAAAGAAACGCGCAGTAAATAGCGTTTTCTTTGTTTATAAAGTGTGAATTTCCATTTTATTTGAGAAAATTCAAGACGATGAGGGATGATCAGTCTTCTTGCCTCGCCGCTACCCGCCGGTCGACGCCGCGGTCGGCCGGGGCGGTATGGTGGCCGCTGCCCCAGCTGCGGTGTGCCAGCCAAGTGTTGAGGTGTGCAAACGCCCCAGATAACCTGTTTTCCTTGAAGTGCAGTGTCAGGACTCTTTAAATCACAACGTTTGTTGTGCCAGATTCGGAAAAATTTCCCTTGTTTTCTTCCTGGCTTCACCTGCTCCCGAGGGAGGAGCTGCGGTCCCGATGCTGACGCTCGCCAGGTAGCGCTGCTGCTCCGTCTGCCCTCATTTCCCCCATTTTCCCTCATTTTTATCATTGATGTTTGTTTGTCTTCATTATAAGCAATTCCTCATAAATCAAAAGTGCAGCTGCAGGGCGGCTGCTGGCATCTGCCCTGATCCCGATTCATTCACTCCCCAGTGGGCACGGCGCTGGCTCTGCTGCCGCAGAGAAAACGTGCAAGCAGTACAAGCCAAGGCTTATTAACTTTCTTTTCATTTTCCTTTCTTTGCAAACCGAATTATTCACTCTTGTAACTCATTGCATCATTTCACCTCCCCTCAACTACTCAACTGCTGCGCTGCTGAGGGCTGCCGACCCCGGCTCCCTTCCGACAAAAACTAGAGTCGATCCCTTGCCTCTCCTCAGCCGTGTCTGGCTTTAAGCAGAAGCAGCAGCAGCAGCAGCAGCAATAGGAGCCCGGCAACAGGGCAGCGTCTGAGATGGCGGCGGTTAGATCTGAGGCCTTCGGCCTGAAGAGGCTGTGCCTGGGTGCCTTTGCAGCTCTGTGCCTGGCAGGCACCAACTCTGTGCATGCAGAGAACCCTACCGAGGCCATCCCGAACCCCTGGGGCGATTCGCTTCAGAAGTATAATATACCTTTTTCACATGGTATGCTTTATACAAACTAGCACACGCTCTAAAAACCCTCCCTGTGCTTGTTGTTTCACAGCTTTTGCTGGTGTGCTGTTGTTGCGATGTTGCTGCTCCTTCTCTGGCTGCAGCTGCAGCGACTTCCGTTGCTTGTCCCCATCCTCATATCCCTCTGAACCTCCTCTGAACGCCTCTCCAACTGCAGGCATTAGAGTGCTACTTTTTCGTTGATCTGTTCATTTGTTTGTTTGTTTGTGGGGTTTAGGCAGCGGGGTGTACGTGGACCTCGGCAATGAGAAGACGGTTGGGAAGCGGCGGTACCGCGAGCCAGCAGGCATGTGCCCAGTAATGGGGAAGGTGATAACTCTGCAGCAGCCAACCACAGACTCTTCTGTATGGCCTCGCGATTATTTATCTCGTGTCCCTAAAAAGGGCTCTGCACAAGATGTTCAGCCTTTAGGAGGGGGCTTCGGTATGTGGGAGACGACTCCAGTGAAGATTAGTCCCCTGACGCTGGAGGAACTCAAGCAAATGGCAGAAAAACAAAACAATAAAAACAGTCCCACCTCCCCAGCAACACAAAAGCTGCTCAAAGTACAAGATGATCACGGTCTCTGTGCATGGTGGGCTTGGGCCTCCTACGCACAAAACAGCAGCTCCAACTTAGATGATAAATACAGATACCCTTTTGTATGGGATGCTGAGAAGAAGATTTGTACGCTGTTGGGGGTCTCCATGCAACTGTTGGAAGGGGCAGGGAAGTACTGCACGGCAGGCGATGACTCACCTACATTGACGTGGTATTGTTTCTATCCAGAGAAAACCACCAAGAACATCTCCTACAACTCTCCTTACATTCGCTTAGACCATAGTACTGCGTGCCCCGAAAGGCCACTAAAAGGGGTCCACTTTGGGGTTTGGAATGGCACAACTTGTGCGCGTATGGCCCCCAGGAAGCGGATAGAAGTGAAGTCCCCTGAAGACTGCGGCCGCGCTGTCTTTAACGCTTCTTCCTCCGACGCACCCACACGCTACACTCAAGCCCCCAACACTCAGAACGCTAGTGAAGCAGCATCTGGTATGGTGGCTACAATGTGGCCTGTGGGAGCCTTTGGAGAAGACCAACCGGACTCAAAAGGCGTCGGAATCAACTATGCAAACTGGCATTCAGACGGCACATGCGAGATGTATGACACCGTCCCCACATGTGTTACACCCGCAGCCGCGCAGCTCGCCTTCACCTCCCTGGGATCGATCAATCCCAAAGATGCCGAACTCCCCCCATGCAACAGCGCTTCAGAAGGATGGAAACTCTATGGCTTCTGCGAATGCGGAGAAGGCCACGCAGACCCCTGGGTGTGCGAAAACGGTGTTTGGGTTGGCGGCAGCGACGAGTGCGACTGTAAGAAAAAGACAATAAAAAAGGCTTCTTTGCCGCATCTATCCATTACTCCTGCACTACTTACAAGGCTAATAGAGAAGTACTACAGATAAACGCTTAAACCAACAAGCAAAGACGAATACAAGAACAGAAAAACAAGCAAATACACATAACATAGTGACAAGTGAAACATAAGACATGCAAACATAAAACCCCCCTAAGATATTAGCACACACTGGAGGACACACAAAAGCATACACCCATGCACATACCGAAAAACGTGTACACAAATAGCGCAGAAACACATACACACACAAACACACAGACACATGAATATATATATATATATATATATATATATATATGTGCAAAACCGCACACACAGTGGGACTAAGGAAGGGAAGCATATAGCCTAAAACGACGAAGACAGGCACAGCGAAAGTCAGCCCCGAAACATCGACAGCGGTGGGGGGCGCGCAGAGCGGATGGAGGGAAACAGAGTAGCAAGCCGAAAGGGCCAAGACAAGCAGATGGCATGCGAACATGCAAACAAACAAACAAACACAAAAACGACGAACAAACAAATGAATAGACTGAAATACAGAAGAAAGGGAGGTTGCAACAGAACAGTTGATCGGGGAGTTCATGATGCGTGCTGCATTGCGCAGGTACCAACATTCTTCCTTTGGCCTTGGGTCTCAGCATCGGTATTCTGGTCCCCGTGGCGTTGGTTGCCGGATATTTCATCTACAGAAGGTGGGTTTTTCGGGGAGCGGCTACCTTGACGTGGAGCAGCTAGCAGCACGGGGATAGGGAGCACCTTGCAGCACAGGGATAAGGAGCAGCTAGCTGCACAGAGATAAGGAGCAGCTAGCTGCAGGGGGAGCAGCTGGCTGTACGGGGAGCAGCTAGTACAAGTAGGAGCAGGTAACACAAGTGGGAGTAACTAGCACAAGGAGGAACAGATAGTTGCAGGGGTATCAGCTAGCAGCAGGGAGGGCAGCTATAGAATTTCACAGCGAGGTGTTGCTGTTACTGCTTAAGAAGCGAAATGCTGTCTCTACGGGGACAGAAACCAGAGAAGAAGAAGCATCATGAGTGGGCCCAGTTGCTGTCTGTCTGCAGCGGGTTGACGGGGAGTGTGGGTATTTTGTTTTGTTTTGTTGTTTTGTCTCAGGCGGCAACAGAACCACTCAGGGAGGCCCGCAGAGAAGAAGAGACTCCTCAGCGAAGATAAGGGGACAGATGAGGAGTTCTCCCGAGTCGCCCAACGAAGAAATCACAAACCCAGCGACTTAGCACAGGAAGCAGAACCATCTTTCTGGGGAGGTAAGCAAAAGAAGCTCAAAACAGCAGCAGCAGCAGCAGCAGCGGCAGCGGCAGAAGCTTCAGCTGCTGCTACTGCTCCTGCTACCTTTTTGACGTCGTGTAGACAGACAGAGCGCATCTACTGCTAGGTGCAACGTCTCTGTCTCTGGAGCAGTTAGCAAAACGAAGAGCAGCCAGCTGCAGGGATAGGCGCTAGCTGCATGTTGAAGCGAAACTAGCAGCAGAGGTGGCAGCTAGCTGGCGGGGGAGGAGCTAGTGGGGTGAGCTGAGTGAAGCAGCGCCTTCGTCTGTTTGTTCGTGTGCTCTATCATTTCTTGTGTTTCTGTGTTTTGTTGTCTTTCTCTTGCAGAGACGCAGCAAGACCAAACAAATGTCATGATAGACGACAATGCACACGAGGCCTACTACTGAGGCGCTTCCCCCTATTCACCTTTCTCTTTTCTTCTTCTGTAGACGAACAGAACGGCCTAGATCGCAATTTATATGAGGGCCCAGCGGCCCCCACAGGAGGGCGAGGGGACCTTGCAAGCCCCTTCAAGACCGCATGCAGCCAGACGCGCGAAGGCTACGACAAGGAGCTAGCTGCTGATCTCTCTCATACCTACTCTATACCATCTAGTAATGACACAGCACATATCCAATATATATATATGCATATATATGTATATATTTATTTACATTCCTGTCTCCTATCTAGCTACTATGTTGCACTCTCCAGCAACAACACCCTTATTCTCTCCTCCTTATCCCCTATTCACTGCCTGCCTTAACTCGTAGCAGCTACAGCGGCACAGCGTTTCAACCCCACAGAGACGGAAACCTCTCCACTGCAGCGGCAGCAGCAGCAGGAGCTGCTGCTGCTGCTGTTACTGTTGCTGCTGCAGCGACCTCTCACTTAGAAGGTATGCTAGGTTCCTACAAGTTTCGGGAGCTGTGGCAGAAATGCATTTAAGCTTTGCATGAAGATGCAGATTCATCTTCACAGAACAGACAAAGGCAACTTTAGCTGGGCTATCTGCGGAGACATTCGGCTCAACTGCGCGCCGGCCGTCTCCCCTGCTGTTTTTGAAGACACCCGCTAATAGCTCTTTGTTCTTTAACACTGAAGCTGCCTTGTCGTTCCAGTTAGAACAGCCGCATACCGTAGCAGAGGCATCAGCAGCAGCAGCAAACAAAAACGGCAGCAAAAGCAGCCCCAGCAGCAGCAGCAGCTGCTGCTGCTGCTGCTGTAAAACTATTGTGTTTAGTGGGGCGGGAGCCTTGCACGTGAGTCCCCTAGCTGCTGGTTAGCGCGATTTTGAAATGCCTGCTCCAGCCTTTCTTGCTGCTCCTGTTTAGAATAGGTTGGCACCTCTTCCTCTTGAATGCTTATCAGCGTTATGCGCCCCTCCTCGTCGCCCACCACCAACACCGGCACAGACGGAGCGTAACTACACAGAAAACGCAGCGTACAAGCAAAACAACACCACAACCCAACAGCAGCAGCAGCAGCAGGCTCACGTTTACACACAGGAACATTGCAGATGATCTGAGTTACGTGAAGGGCCCCAACAATCATTCCTTCTGTGTGCTGAGAAAGAAAAGAAAGAAGAAGAATGCAGACAAACACCAACCCCACCATATCTGAGAGAGCCTGCGAGGCAGCCGCTCCCCCCCAAACGCCGGATATAAAACTGCTGCAGGATCCGCAGTTTGGTCGCCGCAGTTCCACAGCTCCACTCGGCCGTTGTTGAAGGCACAGCAGAAAGCAGTGGAGTCGTAGGGGCTCCTGAAGAGGAAAGGAGACAGACGATATCCATGAAAAACAAATGCAGGAACACCCAAGGATGCAGAAGTAAACTCTCACAGGTTGGGAGCAGCAGCAGCAGAAGCAACAGCAGAAGCAGCAAGAGCAACAGCAGCAGCAGAAGCAACAGGAACAACAGCAGCAGCAGGAGCAACCGCAGCAGCAGGAGCAACAGCAGCGACAGCAACAGCAACAGCAACAGCAACTGTACCAGCAGCAGCCGAACCAGCACGAGCAGCAACCACAGCAGCAGCAGCAGCAGCAACACCAGTAGCAACAGCTGCAGCAAGTGTCTTACCAGCAAACATCCATAACTGCGCTTGGATCTTCTGTTGAAGTGAATACTTCAACTTCTTCTTGATGGCGACCAACAGACCAAAGACGGACTGTCCAATCAGCGGAGCCACTCAGCAGAAAGTGCGGGGAGAAGGGGCTCACGCGCACCTGGAGCAACCCCACCACAATAAACACGCACACATACACAAACATACTCACATATACATGTATATATATGTATATATGTATATATATGCTTATACATATGCATATGCATATATATGCAGATACGTATATATATATATATATATATGCATACATACATGCATATATATATGTATATATATATATATATATGCCTACCGTTCGAATTGGCCCTTTGTGGCCGTAGTAAGTGCTAAGAAACTGCTCGTTGTAGTTGAGGGAGCACTTGTGCACAACGCCGTCATCGGTAGAAACGAAGTAAATGCTGCTGTCTTCTCCCCTCGCCAGATCCAAAGACAAACCCGCTGCATAACGAAATAAATGCGTCTTCACAGCCTCCTTCCTCAAAGAACTCAACTGCAACGCAGAGGGGTTGGGAGTGCGGCGCACATTCATAGCTGTGGAGTTCACAAGCCCTGCATGCAGCACCAAACACCAACGGCAGAAGGAAACACATGCAAGCAGCAGCAAGGCCTCCGTATGCAGCCCAGCAAAACAACACAATCGCATACTGTATAATCAAGAGATCTATGCAAACGCAACGCCCCCGCAGAGGCGCCGAAACGGCTGCCTCTCCTGCCAAGCCTTCTCCAGCTAGCTAGGTAGCTAGCGGGCTAGCTACCTGGCTAGCTGGCTAGCTAGGTAGCTAGCTAGCTAGCTAGCTAAGCTCCACTAGGACTCCGGGCCCCGGTGCCTTCTCAACAAGTTGCATGCGGGGTTCTATCATTCGCTCAGTCAGCCCCTGTTTTTGGGGAAGCTATCAAACTCCTGCCAAGATAGCTAGTTATGTAGCTAGCTAGCCAGCTGGCCCTACATAACTGGCCGGCTCTACCTAGCCAGTTATCTAGGTAGCTAGCTGGCTAGCTAGCTAGCTTGGCAGAAGATTGGTAGCTGTAGCTTCTAGCTAGCTATGGCGAGGCCTGCTGCTGCTGCGCTACCTTTCTGCAGAGTCCACTGCAACACCTGCCCGTCGCCTCCTGTAGACAGCAAACCCTCTGTTCCCTCTCGTACGAGCCACTTCAAATCCCAGACGGTGTCTGTGTGCTGGCAACCCTGCGGACAAGCCGAGAAGACGCAAGCCGCAGCGGCAGCAACAACAACAACAACAGCCCTGAACGTTTCGCTAGTCTCGCTATCTGCAGCACCTGCTACGGTGTATGTACAGCTCATCCTTACCACTGCGCCCTCTGAACCCGCGCTGTGCAGCACCGGCTGATCCCGAGAAAGACGCAAATCCCAAATGCCAACAGCACCGTCCACCAGACCCCCTAAGACGCAGCATGGAGTAGCAGCAGCAGCAGCAACTAACAGCAGCAACGACAACGGCAAGCAGCAGCAACCGCAGCACCTGCAAGCTGCAGCACGGGCAGCAGCACATGCATTGGGAACAAAGAAACAACCAAAGGAGGCATAAGTGAAGCTGCTGCTGTTCGCTGTACCTGCTAAGAGGTTGGGCTGCAGCGCAGCAAATCCAAGTGTAGTAACACCCGACTTGCAGCTAATAACTCTCTGGGGGTAAAGGGGATTGGCTATAGACCAGAGTTGCAACTTTCCTGCATGCATGCAGCAATGCGGTGTACATACACCTCAGAAAGGAAAATATTTTGGCCTGCCTGTCTGCATGAAGCGACGAAGTGTGCGTACACCTCATAGCAGAGAAAAATGCATATATAGAACGGCGAAACCGTAAACACTTCGTCTTCTTTGCTGCTGCTGAGCCTCAGCCTCTTTGTGCTTTTTGTTTGCACTCGAGGGCATGTCATTCTCTGCATCCTACTCTGTCTCTGTTTCTGTTTCTGTCTGCATGCATATGCATGCATATAATATGTGTCTGTCTCTGTTTCTGCCTCAGTCTTTCTTTTTCTCTCTACGTGTTTGCTATGCATATAACGATATATCCATGCACAAACACACACATCTATATATATATATATATATATATATGCATATTTGCTTGGGTATAAATATATTTATTTATTTACCTCTACAGATATGTTTTCATTTGTATATCCATATGCAAATACAGATATATATGTATAAATATCTATATACGTGTGTAAATATTATATATATAAATATATATATGCCTTTAGGCACATAGAAAGATACAAAAGTATATTATCTTCGCACCATTTCGGGGCGCATCTGGATTACAAGGGGGACTGCTAAAGGCAGCACAGAGAATGTCTTTGTGAATTGGGTGGTATACCAGCGCCCGCACCCCCAGGCCATCAGCAAAAGGCCTTCCATCAAAATCCAGGAGCTCCTTTAGCTGCTGCCGTACATAACCGCCTGCTGCTGCAGCACCAGCAGCAATAGCATCCACAACAGTAGTAATAGCAGAAGCAGCAAAAGCAGCAAAAGGAGCAAAAAAAGCAGCAGAAGCACAAGCAGCAGCAGCAGAAGCAGTTGAAGAAGCAGCAGCAAGAGCAGCAGAAGCAGGAGCAGCGGCAGCAGAAGCAGCAACAGCACAGGCAGCAACAGCAGGAAGCATTCGGTGTTCATTGCCGAGACTGAAGGGGAATACGCAATGTAGAAACCGACGTTAGCTAGATAAAAAATACGAGTACATAAAATAGTATTATATATATGTTTTATATTTTATTAAGTATAAAGTGCATGCAAATGCCTATGAATAAAATCAAATGCCTCACTTTGCTGCTCCTCTTCGCCGTCATCCGAGTCGGAGGCCTCGCGCCGTTCGCGCTGCACTTCTTCTTCCCTATCAGCGCCAACTGCAGCAGCAGCAGCAGCAACAGCAGCAACAGCAACAGCAGCAGCAACGGCAACAGCAGCAGCAGCAACAGCAGCAGCAGCAGCAACAGCAGCAGCAGCAGCAACAGCATCAGCAGCAGGAGTAACATCAGGGGGAAGTGCAGAAGGAGCATTAGCCAGAGCAGCAGTAGTAGCAACATCAGCAGGAGCGTCAGCAGCACCAGCAACATCAGCAGAAAGAAGAGGAGGAGCAGCAGCGACATCAGCAGGAGCAGCCGCAGCAACAGCAGCAGCAGCAGCAACAGCAGCAGCAGCAGAAAGAGCACCAACAGGAGGAGCGGCATGGTGTATGCTTGTATGGTTGCAGGAGCTCCAGCAGCAGCAGGAGTATCGGCAGGAAGCAGCAGTTGTTAGCGTGTGCAGCAGCGCAGCAGCAGAAAGGGCCTCTCCACAGACAGCTGCCTCACAGCAGAAGCAATTAGAGTCTGTCTCTGTTCTAGGGTTTGGGAAGACATCTTCCACAGGCTGTAGAGCCCTTAAACTCCTATACGTCATTTGCTTCGAATGAAACTGCTGCTGAGACAAAGCAGCCTCCATACATAAAGCTGCTATGCCCATGCCACCCGGCAGAGGCCCCCCAGACGATATCTGCAGCAAAACAGTTAATCAAACAAACCCTAAACCCTAAACCCTAAACCCTAAATCCTAAATCCTATATCCTACACCCGGAATCCTAAGCCCGAAACGCTATTCCATAAACCATAAATTCTACATCCTTAACCCTAAACCCTAAACCCTAAACCATAGACCCTAATCCCTAATCCCTAAACCCTAAACCCTAAACCATTAACCCTAAACCTTTACCCCTAAGCCAATGCAGCAGAAATTGCGCCATTGCACACTCCAAACGAGAAAAAAACACCAAAGAGAATAAGAGGCTCAGATTAATAAAATATGCAGCCAAGGCAGCAACCGATTAACAGCAATGGCGGCTTCATCAACAGCAGCAGCAGCAGCAACAGCTTCACAAACAGCAGCAATAGCAACAGGCGCAGTAGAAGCAGCAGAGTCAATAAAAGGGGCAGCACGTACAGCAACGCCAGCATCAACAGCAGCAGCAGTGAAAGGAGCAGCTTCACCAGCCACAACAGCAACAGCAGCAGCTTTATCAACCGCAACAACAGCAAGAGCAGCAGCAGCTTGCACAACGACAACAACAACAACAGCAGCAGCTGCTGCTGCGGCTTCAACAGCCGGAGCAACAGCAGCAAGAGCTCTGCAGCGACCGCATGAACAACAACAACAACAACAGCAGCAGCAGCAGCAGCAGCAGCAGCAACAGCAGCAGCAGCAGCATGTTACCTGCCATTCGGGGTTGCTTTTATTTACTTCATTGCTCATCTCAAGCAAATCTCCTTCCAAATTTTTCTTTAGAAGACCTCCACCCATCTCCACCACCGATGGCCGCTGACACTTGCGCCCCCCAACGCTCGCCACAGACACTTCTGCACATACGCACACGTAGCAGCAGCAGCAGCTGCTGCTGCTGCTGGTACTGCTGCAGGTGCTGGTGCTAGTGCTGGTGGTCTTGCTGTTGCTGCTGTTTCTGCTGGTGCTAGTAGTGCTGGTGCTGCTGCTGCTGTGGTTGGTATTCACGTAAATCTGTTGCTTCAGCTGCTGCTGCTACTGCTCTTGCTACTTCCGTTGAGGTCAGATAAATTCTCTGTTGCTAGAGTAGCAACTGATGCAGCAGCAGTGGGAGCAGCAACAAACCCACTGCCGCAGCAAGCAGCAGCTAACCCGCCGTAGAAGCAACACCACCATCGCAGCAGCAGCAGCAGCAGCAGCAGCAATATCTTATGCTTCCTTCTGCCTCTCAGCTTGAGGTGTACGTCCATCTTTACCTGCTCTCTTTGTGTCTGTTGTTTTGCTGCTGCCCATTACAGACAGTCGTTTAGAAGCAGCAAAACTCCCCCCTATGCGTTTTGCAGTTGTGCTATCTCTGCTCCTAAGCCGTTGAGAAGGTTGTTGCTGCTGCTGCTGCTGCTGCTGGTCATCAAACCTGCGCGAGCCGGAGGGGTGCGGCGAAGTAAAGAAGGGCCCCTGGGGGCCCCTCTCCCCCCCTATGCAGGTTGTTCTAGTCTTATCACGAACAGCAGCAGCAGCAGCAGCAAAACAAGAGTTTAATGGCAGCAATGTGCCCTCAGCTTGCAGCCCCTCTGCAGCAAACTCTTCTGCTGCCTTCCTCCATGCAGCACAAAACTTCTCCATCCTGGGAGCAGCAGCAGAGAAACAAACAACAGCAAATTAAAATAAAGCAAATGAAATGCAACAACACACAACATACTCACACGTTAAGAAGCAGCAGCAGAAGCAGAAGCAGAAGCAGCAGCAGAAGCAGCACCGGAAGCAGCAGCAGACACCAACACTAGCGTAGGCAGTGGCGGCAGATATAACCGGACAAGGATGGTGCAGCAGCTGCAGCTGCAGCACTAACGCATGTAGCATCATCAGAGGCCCCGGTGCTGCTGCAGCCCAGACTGCAGCAGAACCTTCGGAAGCACCAGCTGCTGCGGCCAGAAGCAGGAGCAGCCAGTGCAGCACGAGCACAAACGGCAGCAGCAGCAGCAAGAGCAGCCAGTGCAGCACGAGCACAAACAGCAGCAAGAGCAGCACGAGCAGCTGCAGCAGCAGCAGCAGCAGCAGCAGCAAGGAGCTAGTGGCTCACAGGCTTGTGGGTTTCTCAGCAAGTGCATCATGAATGTTTGCTGGTGAAGCTTCAACAGCAGCAGCAACACTCGCATTGTTGTCTGTCTCCACTGCCTTTAGCTTTTGCTGAGGGTTTAGGGTTTGCGTATGCGACACTTTAAACCGTCCTGGGACAGACTGTATTGCTGCTTGAAGCTCAGCATACACCCGATTTCTCTGCATGATTTGATGATGTTCTTCGCTGCCAACTATAGCACATCGAGAAGGTAAACTATATAAAATATTTGTTGAGGTTTCCTCGAGCTGAATTGTGCAGCAGTCTCCACTGCAGCAAGAAGATGCAGCAGCAGCAGCAGCAGCAGCAGATGCTTCTCCTGTTCCTGCTGCCTCTCTTCCTGATGCTGCTGCTCCTGCTGCTGCTGCTTCTCCTGCTCCTGCTGCTGCTGCTCCAGCTGCTGTTCCTTCTGCTGCTGCTGCAGAGACAGCAGAAGCGGCGTCTGCAAGGCAGGCAGCAACAGCAGCAATGCAATATACACGCATATCCAACTTCTCTTTTTTAATATGCATTTATATTTACTCGTATTTTTATTATTTATATATATTCGTATTTGGGGTTATTTATTTATGCTTATATATATTCATCAACACGCATACAATATATATATATATATATATTTATACATATATATATATACAGAGAGAGAGAGAGAAAGAGAGAGAGAGAGAGAGAGAGAGAGAAACATGCGAAGAGAAACAGAGAGACAGAGCGAGACAGAGAGAGAGACAGGCATATGCATATACCTTCGTGATATCATGCATATAAGTACATACATAAATATACATATATATATATATATGTACATCCATATATATATATATATGTATGTGTATCAATATATTTTATCAATATATTTACATCTATATATGTATACATATATATCAATGCATTTACATATATATATGTATAAATATATATATATATATATATCTAATTCAGTATACTGTAATAACATATAAGATGATGTAACTCAGTGCATTACTGTACGGCAAAATAAAGTTAAATAAAATAAATAAAATAAAGTAAAATAGAGATTCGTACATAAGGGTTTAAAAAGGCTGACCTTTGGGTGCTGTGGTTGAGTTGCCTGCTGCTTCTTCTTGCTGCTGCTCTCCTGGCAGCTGCAGCTCTGCAGCAGACATGCGAACCTTCAGTGCAGCTCCAGGTGTATAGGCAGCTCAAGTGAACATGCAGCTCAGGTGTACATGCAGCTCAGGTGCGTACGTACACCCCAGTGAGTGTCAGTAAGCCCCGTTGCGGTGTATGTACACTACATATCTGCTGCTGTCTAAATAGAAAGCAGCAGCACTTAGCTGAAGTGTATGTGCTCATACACCTCAGTATAGAGCTGCTGCTTGCCAACACGCGGCAGCAAGGCAGAGGCAGCAGCAGCAACAACAAAAGATGCTCTACACGATGCATGCTGAGTGCATGCAAGCAGCACCTGCCTGCCTCAATGGTGTCTGCTGCTTCTTCTTGCGAATCTGAGGCCCCACTGTACAGACGACGCGGAGTTACATTCTTTCCGTTCAGCAGCACTTGGTAACCCCCTGCACCTGCAGCAGCAGCAGCAGCAGCAGCAGCAGTAGCAGCAGTGGCAGTGGCGGAAGCTTCTGCTACAATAGCTGCAGAAGCAGCAGCAGCAGAAGCTTCGCCAGTGCCTCAACTGGAGCCCTAAGCCGCTCGACGAGTCCAGCTGAAGAGCGATGGATTGCCAGCAGCAGCAGCAGCTGCTGCTGCTGCGTCCGCTGCAGCGCTTCTGCCCCCTCGCAGGAGTTGGGGCTCTGTGGTGTATCTGCAGCTACGGGGTGTGTAAACCCTTTGTTTGGTGCTGCTGCCTTTGCCGCTGCAAACCCTATCCCGTACAATCTTAAACTCTAAACCCTAAACCCTAAACCCTACAGCTTATTGTTGTTGCTTCTCTGAAGGACGGCACGGGGTATTCTTTCGTCTTCTTTGATGGATTGCTGTCACTCAAACCCTAAACCTTTAACCCTAAACCCTAAAGCCTCTCGTTTTGGCATTGTCCTCGCTTATCCCTACCTCTCCACGTCCTTTAAACCCTAAATCCTAAACCCTAAACCCTAAACCCTAAAGCCTGAGGGATTGTGCTCCGTCTTTTGAGTCGTGCACAGCACGTGACATCAGGCGTTAGGGTTTAGGGTTTAGGGTTTAGGGTTTGTGGTGGTTTGAATAGGGCTTTACCGAGGCTTTCTGTAGCCCTAGATGTTCTTAAACCCGGGGTATCCCTCGAGATAGAGAGTTTTCTTGTAATTGTTTTTTGTTTTGTTTCTGTTTGTCTGCGTATTAACAACTGAGAAGGTCTAGAGGAGGTGCTGCTAGGCTGAGGGAGGGTAATACTAGGCCTTTTAGAAGCCATCTTCCTGTTATTCCTCCCTATTTATTGTTATTTAAATTAAAAATAATTATTACTGCAGAAAAAAATTTAAAAATACAATTAGAACGTGCACTACGCTCCACGGGCTGTCGCAGCTGCGCATACACCCCAACACATAACAGCAGAAAATGAAAAAAAATAAAATTCAATTTTCCACTTTTATTTATTTCGAAATTTCAAACACCGAGTCAAGAAGACCCCGGCGCATGCGCTCACAGCCGCGCGACTGCAGCAACAGCAGCAGCAGCAGCAGCAACAGCAGCAGCAGCAGCAGCAACGAACACGAAATCATCTCACGACGTCTTCATTAATATTAAAGATTAAATGCCCTTTGCTCCTTTGCTGCGTTCTCCTGCTGCTTCTGCATGCCACTTAGCAGCAGCAACACCAGCAGCATAACGACAGCATCAGCAGCAGCAGCAGCAGCAGCAGCCGGAGCAGCAGCAACTTGCGACCATAAACAGCGCAGCAGCAGCAGCAGCACATGCAATTATTGAGGCGATAGGCACTTGTCTGGCGCATCTGCAGTGTCAGTACACAGTTCCGCTCATCAGCATTGTCTAGCTGCTGTTGCTGCTGCTGTTGCTGGTCCTGCTGCGGTTGCTGTTGCAGTTGGCGCCGCTGCTTCAGTCCTATGAGAGCAAGCTTGCGCTACTGAGGCAGCAGCTGCCGCCTAAGGACAGCAGCAGCAGCAGCAGCAGCAGCATCGCCAGCCGTAGCACCGGCTGCAGTTGCAGCAGGAGCTGCGGAAGCTGCAGCGGCAGCAACTGAAGCACCAGCAGCAGCAGCAGCAGCAGCAAATGCCGCCCAAGGAGTTTATTCGGCCTCGAGCCACAAGCCCAGAAGTCCTGCGTCTTGTGGAAGCTGCTGCAGAGATGGATAGGCAGCAGCTGCAGCAGCAGCAGCAGCACCAACACGCGCTGCAGCAGCAGCAACAGCAGCAGCAGTCGGAGTTGGATGCTGATGATGTAGAGCTGCAGCGCGCACTTGAGGCCTCTTTAAGGGAATGTGAGATGCTGCTGCTTGCCTTGTGCGCGAACCTGCTGCTGCTGCTGTAGCTGCTGTAGCTGCAGCATTGGCAGCAGCAGCAGCAACAGCAGCAGTAGTAGTAGTAGTAGCAGCATCAGCAGCGACGTAATGGCTTGCACTGCATGCAACTGTGTGCTTGGTTCTTGTGTGTCTCTGCAGCTGCTGCTTCACCCAGTCCCCCCGCTATAGCAGCAGCAGAAGCAGCAGCAGCTGCTGCTGATGCTGCTGCTGCACCACGGCAGCTGTCTGCTGCAGAGTTTATCGCGCTTCTTCCGGAAGATGATGACCTTACAGATTTGCTGCAGCCTCCCCCTCCCCGCAGCAGCAGCAACAGCACGTTCCCTCTAAGCCGCGGCAGCAGCAGCAGCAGCAGCAGCAAGAAGCTCCCGGAGGACCGCTTTAGAGTGCCGCCTGAGTGGATAGAAGAGGAAGAGAGACGGGGCTGCTGCTGCTGCTGCAGGGTGCCCCCCAGCTGTAGCAGCAGCAGCAGGAGCGCCGGATCTGCAGGAGCAGCGGCAGCAGCAACAGCAACGCCTGAGGAGCCGCAGCAGCAGCAGCAGGAGCGGTGGAAGTGCTGCTCCTGTGTCGCAGCAAGTGATAGTGATGCAGCAGCAGCAGCAGCAGCAGATGGGCTCACCGAAGAGGAGCAGCGCGCCAGCTTCGAGGCCTCAACAATGCCGCTGCAGCAGCAGCAGCTGCGTGAGTTGCTGCTGCTGCTCTTTGGGGAAGGCAGCGGCAGAGAAATAGATAAAGAAGATTTAGGGCGGTGGTACGCCGCGTGCTGTTGCTGCTGCTGGTGCTGCTGCTGCTGTTGGTGCTGTTGCTGCTGCTGCTGATGGTGCTGTTGCTGGTGCTGCTGATGGTGCTGTTGCTGCTGCTGCCGGTGCTGCTGCTGCTGCTGGTGCTGCTGCGCTGTGTCTTCGTTGCTGCTTCCTCCATAGGAGTATCACGCTGCTGCTGCTGCTGCTGCTGCTCCTTGTGCTGCAGGATGGCGCACCCGATTGCATTTGCTGCTGACTGGCCGGAGGCCGCGCATCTGCGCGGGGCAGCTTTAGGAGAAGGTGCTGCCGGTGGTGCAGCAGCAGCAGGAGCAGCAGGAGCAGCAGCTAGCTGCGAAGAGTGGGGCCTGGTTCAGGTACACGGAGGCCCCTGTGGGGTGCTTGCTGCGCTGCAGTGTCTTGTGCTACGTTCTTTGCTTTTCTCTCGCTTCCGGGCAGCAAAGAGGCTGCAGCATGAGCAGCAGCAGCAGCAGCAGCAGCAAGAGCAGCAGCAGCAGCAGCTGCTGCTGCGGCTGCACCCGTGTTCGCTGCAGCGGCAGCATGCGCTTGCAGAAGCAGTTGCTGCAGTATTATATCAATGTACTGAGGGTTCAGTATACACTGTTGCTGCTCTCTCGCCTCCCCGGAGGCCCCCAGCAGCAGCAGCAGCAGGAACATCAGCAGCAGCAGCAGCAGCAGCAGAAGTAGATTCTCTTCAGGTGCAAGTGCGAGAGATAGTGGGGATCGCTCAGGTTATGCGGTTTTACTTCGCCCATCAAAAAGTGCTGCTAGCAGCACCAGGAGCAGCACTTAGTCTTCTCGCTTCCGTTGTACTCACTAGGGGGCCCAGCAAGGTCTGCTGCTGCTGCTGCTGCTGCTGTTGTTGTTGTTGTTGTTCGTGCTGCTCTTGCTGCAGCTGGGGCTGCTGTTGCTGCTGCTTGATGAGGGTGCTGATGCTGCTGTTTGTTGTTGGTAGTGACATTGCAGTTGCCGTTGCTGCTGCTGCAGCTGCTGTTGCTGCAGCTGCTGTTTGTACTGCAGAACCCTGCCAGTGCCTCTTGCATTTCCTGCCCTGCAGCAGCAGCATCTGCTGCTAAAGCTGCTGCTGCAGCTGCTGCTGCTGCATGAGTTGTTGCTGCATTGATTTTTCCGTGCATCGCTGCTGCTGCTGCAACTTGTTCAACTGCTGCTGCTGCTGTTGCTGTTGCTGTTGCTGTTGCTGCTGCTGCAGGTTAGGAGGGATATGGATCCTCCTTCTCGCGCTTTAGTTGGGGTGTATGGGCACTGCGCCCAGGAGTCTTTAAATTTGCTGCTGCAGGGAGCAGCAAGCAGCAATGTCTGCGACGGGGCGACAATGATAGGAGAAGCTTGCTTAGGAGGAGCCTACAAACGGCCTCTGGTTGGCTTCCTCTCAGAGATGGAAGTGCTCAGGTGCAAACCCTAAACCCTAAACCCTAAACCCTAAACACTTGAGCAGAGATGTAGCGCCAGCTGCTGCTGCTAGGCGCAGCACTTTCCGGCCCCATCGAACCACTCTTGTGGTGTCGCTCCTGCTGCTGCTGCTGCTGCTACTCGTGCTGCTGCTACTTGTGCTGCTGCTGTTGCTCATGTTGCTGCTGCTACTCGTGCTGCTGCTACTTGTGCTGTTGCTGCTGCTGCTGCTGGTGGATTGGGGTGTACATGCAGGTACTGCGAGGTGGGGAGCCGCTTCAAGGCGCCTCTGTTTCCACTTTGGGTTGTAGGCAGCGGAAACCACTACACAACTTTGTTCTCTACTGATCCTGCTGCTGCTGAGATGCCTTCGCAAGCGCTTCTTGAGGCGGTATGCTGCTGCTGCTGCTGCTGCTACTGCTGCTGCCATTGCTGCTGCTCGTGTTGGTGGTGCTACTGCTGGTGCTGCTGGTGTTACTGGTGCCACTGCTGCTGCTGCTAATGCTACTGGCGTTGGTGGTGCTGCAGCAGGTGTTGCTGCTGCTGCTGCTGCTGGCGTGTTGCTGCTGCTGCTGGGGATTCCTTTGGTGCTGTTGATGCTGGTTTTGCTGCTGTTGTTCAAGCATATCAACTGTTGCTGCTGCTGCTGCTGCATTTGCTGCTGCTGCTGCTCCATTTGCTGCTGCTGCCGAATTTGCTGCTGCTGCATTTGCTGCTGCTGCATTTGCTCCTGCTCCATTTGCTGCTGCTGCTGCTGCAGGAGTCGCGTTGGGCGTTTCAGGTTGCTGACCCTGGGAATAGTTTGCTGCTGCAGCAGAGCAGCCTTCCTCATGTCTTTGCTGCTTTAGGTTTGTTTTATTGCTTTTGTTTGTTTTTTAGTTGTTTGTCTCGCGCTTATTCGCTTTCTAAACCCTAAACCCTAAACCCTGATAAATATATCTGTAGTGTTTTTCGTTAGGCCTGCCTCCTCTTCTTTGTCTTTATTCTTATAATTATTATGAATAAATAATAATATAATAATAATAATAATAATAATTTATTATTAATAAATATAATATTATTTATTATAAAATGCTTATTTCTTAATATGATGTCTCCGTTTTAATTCTAATAAACATTTTTCATAATTAATTAATTATTATAGATAAACATACCATGACCCAATAAAACAAATATTTATTATTTATTTATTTATTATTTATTATTTATTTATTTATTATTTATTTATTTATTATTTATTTATTATTTATTTAGTTAGTTATTATTTATTTATTTATTTTTTATTTGCTTATTTATTTATTTTACTTTTTATTTATTTATTATTTATTTATTATTTATTTATTTATTTATTTATTTATTTATTTATTATTTATTATTTATTTATTTATCTAGGCTTGCCTTCTTCGTGCTTAGAGGAGGTCCCTTCAGCAGACGGCGTTGTGTTGTTTGGCGATTGGAACCGATGGTTTATATCCTACAGAAAAAAGCAAAAGAAGGTGCAAGGTATAGCTTTTATTATTATTATAATATAATATAATATAATATATATATATATTATTTATATGCTGTGTCGCTCTGTCTGTCTCTTTATCTGTCTCTCGCTCTGCTTCTGTATACTTGGCTGTCTCTCTGTCTCTGTCTCTGTCTCTCTCTCTCTCTCTCTCGCTCTCTCTCTCTCGCTCTCTCTCTCTCTCTCTCTTTCTCTGTCTCTCTCTGTCTCTGTCTCTGTCTGTCTCTGTCTGTTTGTCTATATCCCTCTTGCTATATCTCTTTTTCTTTATCTTTCTCTCTGTCTCTCTGTGTCTGTCTTTACCTCTGTCTGTCTCTGTCTGTCTCTGTCTGTCTGTCTCTGTTTGTCTCTGTCTCTGTCTCTATCTTTCTCTTTTTCTTTGTCTGTCTCTCTCTCTCTTTGTTTGTCTCCTTCTTCCGCTGCCTTTCAAAACCTAAAAAACCCTAAACCCTAAACCCTAAACCCTAATTCTTTTGTGTGCTGCAGCAGGGCCCCATGTGGAGCCTCCAGAGACTTTTCACCTCTTCCTCTATGATGGCCAAATACCCCCAGGTAAGCAGCAGCAGCAGCAGCAGCAGCAACAGCAACAGCAGCAGCAGCAACAGCAACAGCAGCAGCAGCACATATAGCAGAAGCACATGCAGCAGCAGCATCAGCAAATGCACGTGCAGCGGCAGCACATGCAGCAACAGGACGGGCGTCAGTAGTAGCAGCAGCAGCTTCCTGAGCAGGAGGAGGAGGAGGAGCAGCAGCATTAGGTTGTTGTTTGTATTGTTTGCTGCTGCAGGCCCAGGGGTTTGTGTATTTCTAATAAACACCACAAGCAAAGGGCAGCAGAAGAGACAGCCGCAAACAGAAGCTGTTGAAAGATTGCTAAGAACGAGGTGGCCTCAGGCACTCGTCAGCTCTGTACAGCTCTAAGTGCTGCTGCTGCTGCAGTTGCTGCTGCTGCTGCTGTAGTTGCTGCTGCTGTAGTTGCTGCTGCTGCAGTTGCTGCTGCTGCAGTTGCTGCTGCTGCAGTTGCTGCTGTAGTTGCTGCTGTAGCTGCTGCTGCTGCTGTAGTTGCTGCTGCAGTTGCTTCTGCTGCTGATGCAGTTGCTGCTGCTGTTGCTGCAGTGGCTACTGCTATTGCTGTTGCAGTTGCTGCTGCTGCAGTTGCCCTTGCTGCAGTTGCTGCTGCTGCTTCGGCAGCGGCTGTTGCTGTTGCTGCTGCAACTCCTCTCGTTACTGCTACTCTGGCAGCTGCGGTAGCTGCAGCAGATGCTGCTGCAGTTGCTGCTGCGGCCGCTGCTGCGGCCGCTGCTGAAGTTCCTGTTGCTGCTGCTGTTGCTGCTGCTGCTAGTGTATGCGCATGCTGCACAGCGCAGCAGAACACCCGACTCTGTCTTTACAGCAGCAGCAGCAGCCAGACCAGCAGCAGCAGGAGTAGCAGCAGCCAGACCATAAGCAGCAGGAGCAGCAGCAGCAAGATCAGCAGCAGCAGCAGCAGCAGCAACCTCAATGCTGCAGCAACAGAAGTGCTGTTTGCTTCGAAGGGCCTGTGGGGCCTCCGCCATCCAAAACAAAATATGTTTAAAGTCTTCGTTTATTTTATATTTTCTGTAATTCTTTTTGTCTCTTCTTGTTTTTTATTTTGTTTGTTTGTTTATCTTTTTTTATCTTTTTATTTCTCTTACTGGCAGAAGGCGGTATATTACTAAGAACGGGGCCTCTTCACTTGGCCCAGCAAACCCTAAACCCTAAACCCTAAACCCTAAACCCTCAGTACAGATATATGGCAGTGGCTTCTGCAGCAGTCTCTAACGGCTGACCGTTACACCTGTGCTGGTTTACGAGACCCAGCTAGCTATGTAGCTACCTGATTGGCTAGCTAGCTAGCTAGCTAGCTAGCGAGATCAACTGGCGAGAGGGCGTTTACATGAACGGATCGTCTTCTAGCTAGCTGGTTGGCTAGCTGGATGGTTATTTGCTTGGCTAGCTGGCTAGCTAGCTAGCTAGCTGATTTGCTAGCTAGCTAGCCTGCTAGCTAGCTAGTTAGGTAGGTGGTTTACCAGCTAGCTAGCATGCTAAGTTAGCGAGCTGCTAGATTGGCTAGCTGCGAACTGTAGTAGCCAGCTAGCTAGCTTACTGGCTAGCTAGCTGACTGGCGAGCTAGCTGACTGGCTAGCTAGCTGACTGGCTAGCTAGCTAGCTAGCTGACTGGCTAGCTAGCTGCATAGCTAGCCAGCTGAATAGCTAGCTAGCTGCATAGCTAGCTAGCTGAATAGGTACCTAGCTAGCCAACCAGCAAGGTATGCATAGTTCGCTGTGTAGCTTGCTAGGCTACGAGCAAACCGGCTAGCTAGCTAGCTAGCTACCTGGCTACCTAGTTAGCTAGCTGTCTAGCTAGCTGCTGCTGTAGCGGAGCGGAGCATTCAAAGCGGCAGTGGCCCCTCCGGTGTCTGCTGAGGGTTTCGTTTTGTAGGAAGGCGCAGCGACGTCATTCATCTAGGGTTTAGGGTTTAGGGTTTAGGGTTTAGGCGAAGGGCCCCATGAAGGGTTTGCTGTTCTCGATGGCATTTACAGCTGCACATAAACGCAAACCTCAGCCACAAACAATTGAAAAAGATATAAAAAGCAGCAGCAGCAACAGCAGCAACAGCAGCAAGAGTAATGCCCCAACACGAGTAACAGCAGCAGCAGCAACAACAGCAGGACGAAAAGCAGCAACAGCAACAGCAGCAATAGCGTAGCAGCAGCAGCAGCAGCACTAACAACCGCTGACTGTCGGTCTCCCCAACGACAGGAGCAGCAGCAGCAGCAGCAGCAGCAGCAACACCCGCAGCAGCGGCAACGCCAACAGTAGCAGCAGCTCTAGCATCAGCAGCAGCATCAGCAACAGCATCGTCAGCAGCATCAGCAACAGCAGCAGCGTCAGCGTCAGCGTCAGCAGCAGAGTCAGCGCCAGCAGCAGCAGCAGCAGCAGCATCAGCAGCATCTGACTGTCTCTTTCTTCGAAGGTAAGTCTCCTCATTAATCTTTTGTCTTTGTTTGCTGCACCTGTTGCAATCCCTATCCTCCTTTGCATGCGCGCATGGCGCAAAATCGACAGCAAATTGGGCTGCGGCCACTCGTGCTCAGGCAACCTGCAGCAGCAGCAGCAGCAGCAGCAGCAGCAGCAGCAGCAGCAGCAAAAGCAACAGCAGTAAGGAGGAGGGGTAAGGAGAAGCGAAGAAATCGGTGCTGCAGCAGGTGCAGCTGCAGAACGTGCGCAGCAGCAACAGCAGCAGCAGCAATACTACTAGTGATACAAACCAGCAGCAGCAGCAGCAACAACAACAGCAACACCATCAACAACAGCAGCAGCATCAACAGCAGCAGCACTATCAACATCAGCAGCACCATCGGCATAACCATGATGAGCAGCATGAGCATCAGCAGCACAACCATCATCAGCAGCATCATCATCATCAGCAGCAGCAGCAGCAGCAGCACAACCATCATCAGCAGCATCAGCAGCAGCAGCAGCAGCAGCAGCACAACCATCATCATCAGCATCATCATCAGCAGCAGCAGCAGCAGCACAACCACCATCATCAGCATCATCATCATCAGCAGCAGCACAACCATCATCATCAGCATCATCAGCAGCATCATCATCATCATCATCAGCAGCAGCAGCAGCACAACCATCATCAGCAGCATCAGCAGCAGCAGCAGCAGCAGCAGCAGCAGCAGCAGCAGTGGATACAGTCTGCATAATTCTTCTCCGAGTTCAAAGTAGAAAGGTGAATGTGCTGCGAGGTCTACGCCTAGAGGGTCTTTCTGAAGAGCGTCGATGACAGGAGCAGCAAATGCTGCTGGAAACAGCACCTTCAGCTTCTGCTGCTGCAGCAAAGCACGAGCTTGAAACAGCAGCAACTCAACGTTGTCTCCAGGGGTCAGCTGCACACACACATACATCTAAACCCTAAACCCTAAACCCTAAACCCTAAACCCTAAACCACAAACCGCAGAACATAAATCATAAACCATAAACCACAAGTCGCAAACCACAAACCCTAAACCCTAAATAACAAACTCTAAACAATAAACCCTAAACCCTAAAACAGAGGCAGGGCAGAGCAGTGGCCCAATGTGAAGATGCAGGGAGGGTTTAGGGTTTAGGGTTTGAGGGTTTAGGGTGTAAGGGTTTAGGGTTTTAGGGTTTAGAGTTTATTAAGAGTTCTAGGGTTTGGGAGGGAAGGGCTTAGGCTTCGAGGGCAATAGCCAGCGTGCTACTGCTGCTCAGTGAAGGCTTTAGGGTTTAGGGTTTAGGGTTTAGGGTTTAGGGTTTAGTACAACGTCTGGGCGTAGGCCTTTAGCATATTCTTCTTTAGCTGTAGGCGAAAGATAAGAAAGGCCTCGCAACTCCATCAAGGGCACACAAGGCACCACCTGCTCGCAAACCCTAAACCCTAAACCCTAAACCCTAATTCCTAAACCCTAGGCCTTCGACGGCAAGTCCTTGCACTCTGCTCGCAAGAGGACTACACCCTCAATACTAAACCCTAAACCCTAAACCCTAAACCCTAAACTGCCAATGGTCTTTCTTTCAGGGCTTTAAATAAGAAGCCCTAAGCCCTAAACCCTAAACCCTAAACCCTAAACCCTAACCTCGTGATCGATATGTAGGAAGTCTTCAGCAAGCGCTCTTTCTTCAAGGGCTTTGAATAAGAAGCCGTCTTGCTGCTGTGTTGGGGGTTGAGGTGTCTGTACATTGCTGTCTTCGTTCTGACTTTGCTGCTGATTTAGATAAAAAGAGTTAAAAGAAGCCGCACCATCAATAAACCCTGAACCACTCTCCTCGCCCCTCAACATCGTGGCTGTATATACACTGCAGCTGCTGCAGCAGCAGCAGCTGCTGATGCTGCTGCTGGTGCTGCTGTTGCTGCTGTTGCTGCTGTTGCTTCTGTTGTTGTTGTTACTGCTGCTGCTGCTGCTGCTGTTGCTGCTGCTGCTGCGGTTGTTGCTGCTGTGTGGTGTTGCGTGTAGTTTCTGCTGATGCTTCTGCAATTCCTGCTGCTAAGCCCACTATCCCAAGCACAGCTTGCTGCTGCTGCTGCTGTTGCTGTTGCTGTTGCTGCTGTTGCTGTTCTTGCTGCTGCTGTTGCTGCTGCTGTTGCTGCTAGTCTGCTGCTCTGTCTGCGCCTTCTTGTACTAGAAGACGCCTCAAGAAGAGTTATTTTGATTTTTTATTACAATTAAAGAGCAAACATTTTCAGAAAATAAACAACTATGCAGACACTGCAGCAACAACAACCCCACCGCAGCTGGCAGCAGCACCACCCGATGGTTTTGTCGGATTAACTAAAATAAATAATTAATTTAAATATTTAAATTAATTAATTTATTTATTTATTTTGTTTTATTTATATTTTTTACTGAAATAAACAAACATTTATTCGCTTTGATGGCGGCAGCAGCATTTGCTGCAGCAGCAGCAACGGGAGTCGTCGACCTGCTGCTACTGCTGCTGTTGCTGCTGCTGCTGCTGCTACTACTACTGTTGCTGATGCTGTTGGTGTTGCTGCTATTGCTACTGCTGCTGCTGTTGCTACTGCTGCTGATGTTGCTACTGCTGCTGCTGGTGCCACTGCTGCTGCTGCCGTTGCTATTGCTGCTGCTGTTGCTGCTATTACTGTCGCTGCTGCTACTACTTTTCCTGCTGCTGCTGCTGTTGCTGCTGCTGTTGCTGTTGTTGCTACTGCTGCCGCTACTGCTGTTGCTGCTATTACTGTTGCTGCTGCTACTACTGTTCCTGCTGCTGCTGTTGTTGCTGCTGCTGCTGCTGTTGCTGCTGCTGCGCGGCTAGCCCCCACTGTTTTACTTGTTGCATATGCAGAGGGTTTGTGTGCTGCAGCAATGCTGTCTGTACACCGCAAACCCTCGCTAGGGTTTAGGGTTTCTTCAAACTAAGAAGAGGTGCTGTACTACAGAGCAAACAAAAACAAATAAACATAGTTTTTAATAATCTTTTCATTTAAATTCATCTACAACAAATATAAACAGCCGCTGCTGCAGCAGTAGCAGCATTTGCTGCTGCTGCTGCAACAGCAAATGCTGCTGCTGCTGCAACAGCAAATGCTCCCGCTGCAACAGCAGCAAATGCTGCTGCTGCTGCAATAGCAAATACTCTCGCTGCTGCAAATGCTGCTGCTGCAGCAGCTTGAGCTGCAGGCGCAGCAACGCTGCTACAGGGTTGCTGCTGCTGCTGCTTCAGCAGCAGCAGCAGCAGCAGCAGCAGTTTGTTCTGGATTAGTGTGTTTGCAGAATTTTTTGTTTTTGTTTGTTTTTAGCTGGGGTGTCTAGGCACATATCTTCAGTTGTTTGTAATTCTTCTTCTTCTTCTATCTCTTCTTCTTCTTCTCTCTCTTCTTCTTCTTCTGCTTCTTCTTCTTCTTCTTCTAATTGTTTGTTGATCATAGCGGTGCGTCTAATGCTATGCTTCTGCTGCAGCTGCTGCTGCTGCTGTTGCTGTTGCTGCTGCATATGTGCAAGTAGATGCTTATGTTTATTAGCAAGGGCTTCGGCTTGCACGAGTTGTTTGCCTTCGTTGAACGAACGCAGCATGCGCTGTCTATAGAATATATTTTTGCGCCTTTCTTTGATCTCTTCGATTCTTTTTAACGCTTTTACTGTTTGCTGCATTAATTCTCTGTTATATCGCGTCGGCTCATTTCGCCTTTGTTCGTAATTAAATGTCGTGTCTTCTGCTAACTCTTTGCCTATTATATATACACAAACATATATATATAATATATATAATATATATAATATTTATAATATATATATATATTGTAGGCTTATTCATTTATTTATTAGTTATCTATGTTTATTTATTTGTTTATTTATTTATTTATTTTATTTATTTATTTATTTTATTTATTTTATTATATTGTGTTTATTATGCGCTGCCTTCACTGACAAATACTCGCACCCTTAGTCCTATATATATAATATTATATAAATATAATATATATAAATATACAATATATATATATATATAACTTTATATATAAATATTAACATACACAGACGGAACAGTACGCAAACAGAATCACCTAAACCCTAAACCCTAAACCCTAACCCCTAGACCACCTCAAACCCTAAACCCTGAACCCTAACCCCTAAACCATCTCAAATCCTAACCCCTAACCCCTAACCCCTAGACCACCTCAAACCCTAAACCCTAAACCCTAAACCCTAAAACCTAACCCCTATCCCCTAACCCCTAA